TACACTCAGGGGTTAACTGCTTATTAACTTTCATTCTGCTCTGCCCTGCAGCTGTCTTAAGATCCCAAGACATTTTACATTTAAAGTTCAATGCTGTATTTTGAAAATGGACCACTGGACTCTCTATTTCTCATTCTCTCTACTTTTTTCCTCCTGTTTATTTCATTTTGATACTGGGGATTGAATCCAAGGGGTGMTTACCCACTAAGCCACATCCCTTTCCTGTATTTTTTTTTTTWRSCCYTTTTTTGTATTTTTGAGTATATTTCAGAAAAAGTTTTATTGAATATTGACTTCATTCAAATTTATCAAGACTGGGGGGAGTATTATGGCTATTTTCATTTCATTAGTGATTATTAACATTCTTAATTCCATGATTTTTTTATACCTTTATTTTTATGTGGCGCTGAGAATGGAACCCAGTGCCTCACGCATGCCAGGTGAGAACTCTACCACTGAGCCCCAGCCCTTAATTCTATGCTTTTAACTTTTCATAATTAACTTTTTTTCTAAAATAGTTCTTTGATCAATTTGTCGACTCTGTTTTTTTTTCTAATTTATTTGAGTTTTGTCTTTATTATACCAGGGTTTGTCAGATTAGCTTTTTTAATTTATTGAATTAGAAGTATAGCTAACTTTTTTCTCATTTTATAGTGATGATTTATAATCCTTCAAAAATTTTTTTCTGAATAAAAAGTATACCTGTAAAGTTTTAAATACAGAAATGTGTTACCAGAAAGGAAAAATTCCCGTAAAAGCCATCATCAGAAATAACCACTGCTAATAGTTTAGGGCATGTTCTTCCTGGTGCTTTTCTATGCATATGATTTCTCTCTAGGTGTAACATTTGTATATATGCAATGTTTTATTTATATCTGAATAAGTACACAATGGATCATAAATATATATGCATGTACTCATGAAAGTAAATATATCTGTATATCGTCACCTGCAGAGGCAAATGGCTAACTGTCTCTYCCCCAGAATTTGGCTTGAATGTTGAGATCATGGCCCAAGGGCTATGAAATTGAATTGAAGTCTCTAGAGAGAGCAGAGGAGGATTCTCAGGTGGGTCTCCAGTGACCCCAGAGTAGGCAAAGAATCCTGAGGATGGAGTCTTGCCCTCTGCTGCATCACAGATGTGGACACAGATATGGCCATGTGTGGACACACACCTCCATGTTGCAACTACAGTGGCCTTATCTTTTAATTTAGTTCATGTGTATCAACCTCATTTTTTAAAAAGTAGGTCATAGATTTCCATTTGCATGGATGTGTCATGATTAGATAGCCATTGACTTGTTGATGAATAAATTGTTTTAATTTTTTCTGCTATTTACAAACAGGATACCAAATGTTCTGCACAGAATACCTTTGTACACATGCCACTATTCTAATCATTTTATTTATTTTGGTGTCTGGGATTGAACCCAGCGGCATTAACCACTGAGCCACATCCTCTGCCCATTTTTTATTTTTTGAGACAGGACCTCAGTAAGTTGCCCAGGCTGGCCTTGAATTTGTTATCCTCCTACCTCCAAGTCTCCTGAGTTGCTGGGATTACAGGTGTGCACTACTGTGCCTGGCTATTCTAATCATTTTAACATGAGCTCTTATGTTCCAGACATATAAAATGGCCACAGGATTACAGTCACTGGGATTATAGGCATTTGTCCAGTTTCTATTTTTTAATTTAACTACTACTTGATATAAATTATTATAAATTCCCTCCCCCAATCTTCCTATTTCCCCTGCCTGTGGTAAAACGCATTTTCTATGTACTTGATTTCTTTTCAAGATACCACACATAAGTGAGGTTGTGCAGTATTTGTCTTTTTGTGCCTGGTTTATTTCACTTAACATAATGTCCTTCTAATTTGCTTCTGTCCTGTTGCAAATGGCAGGAGATTCTTCATGAAGTCTGAATAATACTCATGGTATCTTTCTACCAGAATTTCTTTATCCACTCAGCTGTTAATGGACACTTCAACAATGTTTTGGCTATTATGAATAATGCTGCCGGGAATATGGGAGTAGAAATTTGGGTATATGCCCAGCAGAGGGATTTCTGTAACAGATGACAGTTTTCTATTTTTAATATCTTTGGGAACCTCTGTATTGTTTTTCAGGCTGGATGTACCAATCTACATTCTCAAAAAGAAGGGTTTCCTTTCTCTGTCCTCACCAATACTACTTGTATTTGATATTAGCCATCCTAATAGTGGTGAAACATCCCTGTGGCTTTGTTTTGCATTTCCCTGATGATCAGTGAGCACCCTTGTATACAACTYTTGAAAAATGTCTATTTAAGTCTATAAACACATTCACATACCACCATCCCCACTCCTCTTCATTATCACCAGAAAGATAGTAAGCTTTTAAGCCTTTTTCAATCTCGTAGACAATAAATTATATCTTGTCTCTATTTGCATTTGTTCATTATTAGTAAGGTTGAACATCTTTCACTTAATATCCATATATATTTTTTAAAAAACTTGCTTGTGTGATTTGCTATTTTTCTATAGACTGGACATTTTGGTGTACTAGATATTTGTCTGCCCTTTGATTTTATTATCAAAATATTTTGACATACAAATATTTCAATTTACCAATTTTCTCTTATGGTGTGTTTTGTGTCATGCTTAAATGGTCTTTGTTGCTCATTCTTCTAAAGTTTCTGAAAATATTTATAAAACACTGAAAGCTCAACAACTTTCAATGTTTCATCCAAAACATTAAGTTCTTTGATATAGTCGCAACTAATTTATGCATAGGCCTGAGGTAAGGATCTAACTTTCAAAACAATGCTTAGTTGGTTGTTCTCGGGCCATTAATCATCCTTTCTTGGGGGCTGCCTCTTAGGTGACTTAATATGCCTGATACAGTGAAACCAGATTTCCATAGATTCTTGGATGTCTTGTGATTCATTGCTTTATTGATCTATTCTGGCACCAACACTATACTGCTAATGATTGYAATTTTATGTTTAATGCCTCTTAGGCTAATAATCTTCCAGGCTTCCCCACACCCATGGGTTTAAGTTTTCTTGATTTGTCTTACATATTTTTTTCTTTCATGTTAATTTCAGAATCTCTTCCCTACCCCCCAATTTATTCCAAAATGTGACAGGATTTTGTTAAAATTATAGAAAAATTTTGAGTTATATTTTTACAAGACTCCCTCTAAGAACTAAAGATTTATGTACTTATAATTTTCATGTTTCTTACATGTTCCTTGGTATGTCTATTCCTGAATATTTTGTTCATGTTAATTGTGTTCTACAAATTAAATRTTATTTCCATTCCATTAAACATATTGAGGATTGAACCCTGGGGTGCTCTACCACTGAGCTACATCCCCAGCCCTTTTTATTTTGAGATAGGGTCTACCAAGTTGCCCAGGCTGGCCTTTAAAGATCAATCCTTCTGCCTTAGCTTCCCAAGTAGCTGAGAATACAGGCATGCACACCATGCCTGGTGCCCCATTTTTATAATCAGATATTACTTAAGTTCTTGCTTTCAAATAATAGAAACTGACTTTGGTTAGGCAGAATTTATTGAATATCCAATAATAACTCTATATTGAGTTGTCAGTCTTTTTTATGAAGCATAGCCCTATATCCTTCTGGGGAAGCCAAAAAGACTAGGCAGTTCCTCACTGATGCTGGCTGAAAAAACAGTTGTATGACCTGAAATCAACCCATCAGGGTCTTATACTTTAGAATTCATTCTGGTTGTGGTAAAAATTTTGGCATCCAATATTACAAGTGGCAACAATGCCACTATAGCAGGTAGTAGGGCAGAATCTAGATATATGCCCTATCATGGCAGGATTTGGTCACGTTTCAGACTTGCCTGGCATCTCTTGGTTTGTATTCATTTACTTCTAGCAGCATACACAAAACACAAACTCCTCTTTGGGGAAAACTAAATTTGGAAAATAAAATCAGAGGCCAGTATCTATTAACCTCATTCCAAATAGGTTAATATCGTGGGCTCTGTTTGCCTAAGTAGAATTATTTACTGTTTGGAAGCAGCAGGCCTACTACATACAACATTTGGGTTCCCAAACTGGGTATCTTAAGGAATTCTAGTAACAAGGCGACTTGTCAGAGATGTGTATATGACTTAGGGCAATAGTTACTGATACTTGTCACAATATAGACTCATCTGTAAAGAGAGGTTAGACTAGACCAGTTAGTTTCTAGGTCTTTGAAAATTGCAGTCTTTTCACTCTAAAGAGACTTGCTTTTTCTTAATTACTTCCCTTAAAATTTAGCTGACAACTATCAAGTGCTTGGCTCTTTGCCACTGTTGAACAGAGTCCTGGAGAAATTGCAGTATGCTCTCATACTCAGTTGAGCAGAGATYTATTCTTACTGTGGAAATATGGACACAAATAGCAAGTTATGCTTGTTATGTGATGCATTATGAATGCAGGCAAGATGCACTAGTAATCTTTTCAGAGACTCAGATTACATCTTCTGAAATACTTTGTTTCATCCTGTTGGAATGAAGTGGGGAGCTAGGCATAGTGGCATACACCTATAATAYCAGTGACTTGGGAGGATCTCAACTTTGAGGCCAGCCTCAGCAAATTGGTGAGACCCTGCCTCAAAATAAAAAGGATCAAGATGTAGCACAGTGGTCAAGCACTCCTGGGTCAAATCCCCAGTGCCCTCGACCCTACCAAAAAATCTAAAGGGGGAAATTGAACATTTTGGTAGCGAAGGTATAGCATGAAGTAAGGTCAGAAGTTAACCTGAATTGGTATGAGAGGAGGTAGAAGAGCAGACAGATGTCTTGTCTTCCACAGTGATATTTTCTCTAGGATGCCTGACAGGTGGGTGCAAAGAGACGTCTAAGCTGGCCAGTGCATATTTAATACCAGTCATACAAAAATGCCCACACCAGCTTGGCATCAGAGATGCATGACTTATCCTTATTTTACCTATGATGTTGTAAAGTTAGGGATAATGAGCTTTCTCTTGTGACTTGTAGGTTCTTATGAGTGCATCATTCCTGGGAGCCCTGTGTCTCTTCTCATCTGTCTGTGTTGTATGTGCCATTTCTGCATTCACTCTTCCCATTGAGACCAAGGGACGAGCCCTGCAGGTAAGTTGCCATGTTTTGAACTTGGTATGTGGGTCTCCTTCTTTGAAGTAGGTATGGCTTATTGTAAAACAATATTTAGGCCAGGTGTAGAGGCATATGCCTGTAATCCCCTCCACTGACTTAGGATCCTCCTGCCTCCTAAGTTTAATGCCAGCCTCAGCAATTCAGCAAAGCCCTGTCTCAAAATAAATAATAAAAGGGCTGGGGATGTACCTCAGTGGTATAGCACATATGGTTTCAATCCTCAGCACCAACACACAAAAAGTTTAGAATCCAGTAGAAAAACTGAGTCTTTAGTCTTTCTCACATACAATTTTGAGCAGCACTGAAGTCCAAGTAACAAATAATTCACTTAAAACCGTTTTCTCTAAAAGCTATAGTTTGATTATCAGAGACCAAGATGAGTGACAGTTGTTGAGGCTGCAACATTCTACCTTTCCCACTTTTCTGTGTGGATTGAAGCATTGCTGCAGAACTAAAGGTGGCCAGAGGAGCTGGCCCCCGGGATTACATGCTCCTTACACATTGGTCCAGCCTCCTTCTCCCTTGTACCTGTGGTTAGAGTGAAGCCAAAAGCTTTAGTGCAGCACCAGTTGCCATCACTACCAACAACCAGCAGACACTGCTCAAATGAAAAAGGGATGCCCTAAAGTACAAGGCAGGCTGCAGGAGAGATGGTCTTCCTAGCCCTCATGCTGATCTCAAAAGTCCGTTTCTTTGCCTTAAAGCTTGTTGCTCCTGTTGCTGGTATGCAAGGTTATGTGTGTGTGGGGGAGGGGGAGAATAGTGGGGTTACTGGTTACACTGAGCTGCTGCCTCTGAGACTGTAGCATGAGGCTCTTGCTGCTGAATGTGATTTGCTCCCTCTCTCCTGTGGTATTCAAAATATTCTGAAGAGGGAAAAAAAGAGTTAAGCTGCAGAAAAGGTTTATATTCTTGGTGCAAAAAAAGTGCTTTTGTCTGAGTAGAGCCAAGAAAGGCACCATTGAATACAGAAACACAGGCTTATACCAGTCTTGAAGTCTTCCCCCTAGCTCAAGGTAATATGCCTTTTAATCACTGATTAGGTGACCTATCATATAATCATGAACTTAGTGTTTAGGTTCCTTCCTTGGAATGATGACCCATCACTGAATGCCCAAAATCAGACTGAATTAGATGACTCATATGCCTCCTTTTAATGGTAAATAAAAGGATTATCACATCCTTTACATAATGAGTAAACAAGGAAGTTGAGTAACGTGTGTAAAGGAACACACTAGTATTTAACTGAGGCTAGAAAGTACAGGTGCTAATCTTGTGCTATTTTTCCATTCCTTTCCAATTTTTCATGTAGTGTTTTATATAAATATGAAACCTAGTTTACCATTTATTTTTCCTAATGGATTTTCAATTCAAGTCATATCCATCTACAAAACACTAGTTCATTTTCTGTTGACTTGGACTTGTTTTTAGTACTGTGGTGAAATAATTTTGCATCTGTTTACAACTTTTTAATATTATTTTCTTAGAATTTTAACATGGCAATTCAATTCAATACATGTTTGAGCACAAAGCCCTATCTGTGGGCAAATCCTGTGTGCACACATACCCACACCCCTCAGTGTTCGGAGTATTTACCATATAAAGTTTCAAGAAATGTTTACAAGAATATGCCAAAGTTTTTAACTTCCTTTCAACACATACAGATAGCATCCCAGGAATTGACCGGATAAGCCAAACTAACTAGTTTAAAAGAACTAGTTAGTTTGGCTTATCCTAAGAAACCCACTTAAAAAAAACCCCCAAAACCAAAAAACAACAAAAAAAGACACCCCCCCCCCAAACACACAAAATGAGTGCAGTGGTGCATGCCTGTAATCCCAGCTACAAGGCAAGTTTGGGATCAACCTGAACAACTAAGCAAAACTTGGTCTCAGAAAGAAAAGACGGGCTTGGGATATAGCTCCATTAGAGTACCCTTGGGTATATTCCCCAGTGATACCCACACAAAGAACCCAGTAAACAAAACAAAAATAAAACACAATTTTTCTAAGTAATGTCTATATTGTACTAAAATAATTATAAAGCTAGTATTGCATTTCCAGGTACACAAAGGTAAATCCTGGATCTTAATTCCTTAGAAATTGTATTAAAGAGACTTCTATTATTAGTTTCCAGTGTTAGTTGAGTATGAATAGAATGCCTGTTAAAGTGTATTATTGATCTATTAAATCTTTTTTTTCCCCCAGCAAATTAAATGAGACCTGCAAATCTACATCTACCAGAGGAGCACAGTGTATTTTATCTTCACAGATCTGTGGCACATTTCTTAAAAACTTGGTTTAATTTCTGTATGCAAGTCAATAATAAACTGATTATGTATCTAAGAACATAAGGCACCCATGGGAATACAGCTGGCAACTGTATACTCATCTCCTCCTTGGGAGACAATATATAAAACTTTTACAAAATATACCTAAGATTGGAAAGTATATGAATGGGAGAGGTTAAAGGAAGATCTTTTCTTCCCTGATATCAAGAATACAAAATCTTAGAACATATACTTGGTATTTTCCCATACAGGTTATAGCTAAAGTTGGACAAAATCTTGTACTTAGGACAAGAACTGGGCTGATATCATTAAATCTTTCAAAACCACTAGAATAGTCATCAAGTTCAAATTAATATTAGCATCAATTATGGCCTTCCTAGTCTATTCACAAAATATGCTTAAATTAGTGGCTTGTATACAATTACATGCCATCCCTATTTCTACTCATTTATTTTAATGGGGAGAATCTTTGATTCTCATAATACGATAATAAAAATGAAAGTATATAGCCAGTTTTCTGACATATAATCAATCACTCACCTGCTTGTGGAGAGACTGATACACGTGAGACATCATAGTTTTGAAGCCAGAATTAAAAACAGGTAGTCAGTATAGATACATAAATCGGGCCAAGTTGAGAAAWACAGCAAACCAGTTTGGGTCCAAAAGGTTGAAGACTCCGCTGTGGGAGATTGAAATGTTAGTGTCCCAAATACCTGCCCAATACTGCCTTCCTAAAGAATTGTTAATAAAGCAACCCCTGAGCAGACAGGGAGCTGCTAATTAATTCACCTGGGCCCCCCTTCCTGCCCAGATCACTTCTCCCTGGCCCCTTCAGCCCACCTGTTTCCCACCTCTTGGCTTTCCTACCTGCATCTCCCAGTCACATATACAGGATGAAGGGAAGTGAACAAGATAAGGGAGAAGAACATAAAAGAACAAAGAAACTTTATAAGTATAAAAGGGATGGGTCTTCCTCATCCCATGGATTCTAGTTTTTGGGTCCCCTTCTTCCTTAGGGAAGAAGTCTGTTCTATCCTTTAAATAAAGCTTCTTGCTTTCTACTCTATGCTTGCCTCAGGTGCTTCTCTCCTGTTACACTTCAGCATTCAGGGAAACCCAATAACCGAAGGTATCAGTTTGGCACACCACATTCTTTTAGGACAGGCATGCTGCAGAAAGAACACCTAGTTTTTCACATTTACATTTTATATTTTATCAGTGTTCAGGCTTGTTGTAGAAGCCCACTGAAGTTGGGGAACCCAAGGCTGGCTTACCCCCATTTCATAATAGAAAAAAAAATCAGCTGTAATGGCAAGAGTATTGTGGCATTAGCAAACTACATTTATGAAAGATTTCCAATTCTCCTTAAAGAGTGAAAATAATTCCTATTTGAACAATAGCCTTGAGTGGCTTAAAATCAATACATCGATTTGTCCCTTAGTATGCTTGGGGGATAGGTTCCTGGACCCTTTAAAGGTGCCAAACTTCCCCAGATGCTCGAGTCCTTGATTGGAATGGCAATTTGCATATAACCAATGTATGTGCTCCCATATGCTTTAACCATCTCTATAGACTATCATTTCCTGCATAGCATTTATATTGCATTAGTAAGTCTGCATACATGAAGGACAGACTTTTTCCAATATTTTGGATCTGTAATTAGTCGAATTCTTGGATGCAGAATCCATGCTATGGTGGGCCATCTATATTTTAGGCTTTGTGAGTACCTGTGAACTCCATCACAAGTCTAAAATATTCTTAGCTTTCAGATTGTGGAAAAACGAAAGCAGGGTATATGCTGAATTTGGCCAACAGGCAACCACTCATTTTAAGGTCTAGCTATTATAGAATTTTAGATGAAATATATTTGTTGCAAACATGTCTTGGGTATACTTGTAGAGTTAAAAATTTAACTGAAAATCCCCAAGCTGAAGTTAGCAGCAATTTAAAACTAAAAGCAAAGGATGGCAGTGATCGAAAACCAGTCAAGCAATGACGAAGCTTATGCTCAAGCGTCTTCCTAAGGATTTCAGAACTCTCAGTATCTCTGAGGCTCTTTAGGCTTAAGGAAATTGTTATTAGCTCTATCTAAGCCCCAGGCTCCTAAGACAGAACCAAATTAGCCTATATAGAAAATTCTATTCACATAATTTTAATTGAATACCCAATTTAACAAATCCTTAAATCTTGTAAATTGCTTAGTATTAGTTGTCATTAGAAATGGAAGTCAACAAATTTCAAGTCACTAACTTTACTTGTAAGGACTTTGATCATTTTGCTTTATATAAATAGAAACCAAATATGAATCTGTTTTGGGGCTGGGGATGTGGTTCAAGCAGTAGTGCGCTCGCCTGACATGCGCGGGGCGCTGGGTTCAATCCTCAGCACCACATAAAAATAAAGATGTTGTGTCCACCAAAAACTAAAAAATAAATATAAAAAATATGAATCTGTTTTATATAGAGAAGAGAAACTGACTTCCTTTAAACTCTTTAATGGCAAAACCTCCTGTAATATGAATGCCAAATTCTTTATTTTGGACCTTTTGTATGTTGGGCTTTTAAAACATACTGTCATTAGTTAATGCCTAAAAAGATCAAATTAAGATAACCAGCATCACTGTCAAAGTCTGTTACCTGGAACACCCTCATTTTCTTTGGGGAAAGAAACTTCTCAGGTCAGTATATTCTCATTCCAAGGGTAAGAAGTGTGCTCTGCTGGTTGATCTGTTTATTCTGACCTTCCTCCCCAAACAATTGGGCTTTATCATTTGCAATGGAAGAACTCTAGACTGGATTTTTACTTCAGTTGTCTTGGGTTAACAGTATGAGATTCGGGGGCAAGAAGTTCCTATTCCCCAGTTCCCTGACACAGAAGAAKATGGTAAAACAGATTTCCTTCCATGCTGTATTTGAAAATGTGCTAAGATTGAATTGTGCTCATTTGTGACTACCAAGAAATAACTTTTTGACAAAAATTGGGATTTTTTTTWAAAATTAGGATTTAAAAAACTAATTTTAGGACTGGGGATATGCCTCATTAGTAGAATGCTTGTCTAGCATGCAAGAGGCCCTGGGTTGGATTCCCTAGCATCACACCACAGAAATAGAAAAAAACCTTAGAATCAAATAGAAGGTTGTTCCCAAAGTAATGGTATGTCACTAGTTGGCCATGTGCAGGTAAGTAGGTAGAGACCAATAAACATATATATCAAAGCCAATCTATAAGTCACAGGACTGGAAATACTAGGGAGCTTTATCATAGCAGACAAACATCTGAAAAATAGGAATTGATATGCCAAATATCCCCTAGCCATAGTTAATTGTAACTCCTTAAGGAAACATTATTTCAAAACCAAGTCATAGCTTTTTTCTCCTTTCCCTTCCAGGTATAATTCAGTGATACAGCCTTGCTGGATTGAACCCAGCAAGGCTGTATCACTGAATTATACCCCCGGCCCTTTAAAAAATTATTTTGAGACAGGGTTTCTTTTAGTTACTGGTGCTGGACTCCAACTTGTAATCTAATCCTCCTGCCTTAGCTTTCAGAGTCACTGGGATTAAAGGTGTATGCCACTAGGCCCAGCCATGGATATCAAAAGGCAGGACAAGTTCAGATKCGGCCTTGGCAAYTTAGTGAGACCCTGTGTCAAAAAATAAAAGGGCTGAGGATGTAGTCCAGTGATGGAACACCCCTAGATTCAATCCCTAACTGTTGTAACATTCACTGTAAAAAATCCATCTGTCAATTTTTATAGTAAGATCAAAGCACCTGGTTCCCCCCTTTCCCCTCCAATAAAAACCAGAACCCAAATCCTAAGACTGCTCCCTCAAATGTCCTTCACAATAAGCAAAAACCTTTATGGAGAAGTCCGTGATAGCATTGGTTAATTCTCAGGAACATGAATTACCTACATGTGGATTATGACTTAAATGCCCATCCAAGATGAAAGTACAAAAAATGTTTGTAAAGCCATAAACTATTAATTTACATAGTAAAATATGTACATGGTTATTTGAGAGGAGGAGCTTGATAAGAAATCATATGGTTGAACTCAAGGTCATGTCCATAATTTTACTGGCCAGATAATTTGATTTCTCTCATTCATAATATGGATAAATAGAAATTGAGTATATCTTCAATTAAACCAAAAAACCTTTCATTCACATGCAGCAACTTACTTTTGGGCTTCCCATCAATTTGGATGAGGTCTCAACAGCAGGAGTTTCCTCCTTTCAAATTATCTGACAAAGTTAGGTCAAATKTAGAAGTTTAAGTAGAGGACTTAGAAATGCAAATTCATAAACAGAGCAGTTGGCTATACTTACCCTTTTGATAGTGGAGCTAACTTTTTTGAAAACTTTTCTAAGCTATATGCTATTCTGTGTGGTAGTAAAACAGAGAGTCTATTCTTTAGCTTGGAAAACAAAGTACTACCATGGGAAGAGGGCAGTTCCTTTTCTTCCAACATGTTCCACTTTTCTATGCCCTGTTCAGAAAAGCAGAGCTTGTTAATTAAAAGGACAAAAGGCTTACACTGCCAGATGCTGATGGAAAGATATATTCTGCCTTTAATATGGTTTATCTCAGTCCTTTATATGCCTGTCATTGGTATGTAAGTAACAACTGTGTCCTTGGGTTTCCTTATAGCCAGAAAGACGAGAGCTTAGCAGCTGGGAAAGCAACTGAGTTGGAACTCTTGAAGTCCCAGTTCCAACATGGTCTGTTCATTCATAACTGTGGATTAACCTGATCATATTCTGCAATGGGTGTTCTGCAGCTAGGCTACTGGGCTCTCAGTTTAAATCCAGAGGGAAGTGTCCCAGAGTTTTTGGTAATATGTACACACCGGAGTACATAAGTTTAACACTGAACATTTTCGGGGGAGGGAGTGCTCTCAGAATTAATGTGGGGTAGACTGAGGCTTCTATTTTCTAGCTTCTATTCGAATAGAATTTAAGAATTATTTAGTTGGGATTCACCTTATTTAACATAGACACTTGTTAAATAAGGTCACAGGACTTAAGAGACCACTTCAAAATGGCTATTAGGAGAGAGAAACCAAGACATTTGCTTTTAATATAATTTATATTATTATGTATGATTACAGGAAAGATGGTTCTCATCTGCTTTTCATTCAGCAAAAGATGGTAACAGTGAAAAAGAAATACTGTTTTAAAAAGTTCATATGGCACTGAATATTATGACAGTCTGGGGTACATTAGTAGAAATTCTGGCTCAGATAAATTTAGGGAATTATATTTTTTCTCTCTTAAGCCCTACCTCTCTTAGTGATAATTCGTGAAACGATTTACCTGTATTGCTCTGTTTAACTAAGGAGACATGTAAGACAAGTGTGGGAGAACAAACTACCAGAAGAGCAGTATTCTAAGATACCAATAATAAACGCGTTAGCAAAAAACTCTACAGTTGCTGGGCTAAAAATACTGGAGTAAAAACAGACAAAAAAGTCTATGTATTATCAAAATTTGTTCAGATACTCTTAGGAGAACAAATGTCAAATGCATATTCAAAACAACACAATAACAACATCACCATATAGCACATATTTGGAAAAATGATTAAAACTTTAACAATACATTATTGATATATTATGGATAAGACCTAAGTCTATATGTAGAAAATGGGAAACTATTGCTAATAGCTATTTTCTCCTTATATTTTGTCTTTTAGCAATACCTGAAAACCCAATGAATTATCCACAGAATATTTTCAAATTGTCCATTTCAGAAAGTTATGTCATGTGGATAAAACCAAATGCTCTATGCTTAATTCATGGGAGGCAATATAACCAGAGAATTCAAGTTTTTCTGTCCTCCTAAAAAAGAAACATTTCCTCCAGATGTTAATTGTAATGTCTTATTTATAAAGGTTTACTTTGGCAAACTAAAAATATTCATGTGTATTTAGTCAAATGCTGGATTAGATTCTTTGACAGTTTATCTGGCTCTAAAAAAACACCGAACATGTAATGAATAAATGGATGTTAAATTAGCTGGGCTGGTCTGTTAACAACATGCCTCTCCTCAGAAGATAGATCTTTTGTGTCTTGATCAGAATGAAAAAGAAATTCTTATTAAATCAGATCAAGGATAAAATTTGGGGCTCTGATTCTTAAAACAAATAAAAACAGTAAATAGATGCATCAAAATTTTTTTTTTCATTCTAATTTCCTCCAAATACCTGCTCTCAAATCCTACAACACATTTTCATTATAAAGACCCAAGAAAACCATAACAACTAGTTCCTTTCAGGGGAACTTATTTTTAGGGTCTAAGAGGACATATGTTGAAGAAACCTCAAATCAAACATGGTGTGCCCAGCCATATTTTATATTTTGGATAGTTCCACTAAAAGCCATATTGAAAACAATGAGGATTGTTATAAAAGGATATCTACACACTTAAAAAAACAAACCAACCACATAGACACACAGCGAAACCAAACATGTGCACACTTACTTCCTTTAGGGGAGGAGAAAGCTAAAGAAAACCTAGATCTAGAAATATAAATGGTCTTGAATACCTGCTATACCAAACACCTCTACAGGCACGATAAAGATGAAAACAAAAACCAAACATTTGTTTTCCTGTTTTTTCTTTAATACAGTTGCCATCTTACAAGATATACCATTAGGTGCCTTTGTAATAGCATCTAATCTACCCTTTCATTGCACCAGTTGGCATCCTGGGAAAGAACTCCTTACCACTCATGTTTGGGGAGCATTGCTGTTAACTACAATAAACCTAGCTCTTATGGTTGGGCCATAATCAATGAGTAGTGGCATTAATTTCTAAAAACAGATTAACGCACACATTCAAACCACATTAAAATTTTAACTTAGAGTTCATACAAAGTCGATTTCCCTTCTATAGTAGCTATTGCTCCAGATTGTGGTTTTAAAATCCAAGGAGAAGAATGTCTCTTTATTTTATTGTTGATGCTTCTTACTTTCTTCCTTTTCTTCTACCATACTTTCTATCTCCCCTCCTTTCTTTCATTTTCTTTTTCCCATTCATTTCCTTCTTTTCTTTTTCCTTCTTTTTTAATAAGAGGTTAAAAGAAAGGGGTTATTAAGGAAATCAAAGTCTAGTAGTAAAACGTCTAAAACAGATCAGAGAGTTCACAAACTCTATATCGATGTTAAATTACTGAAAAAAAATTTTTTTTTTTTTGAAAACAAACAAACAAAAAATCTAAAAACAAGCATATGCCAATGGTGCTGTTTATTTAAGCAATTGGCGTTCCTCGATGCTTTTGAGGCGTTTCTTCCGGGGCTGTACAAAGTCATCATCTGAATCATCACTAAATTTATTATCTTCTGATTCATTCCTGAATTCTAGCTTAGGAAACCTTTTTTCTGGATAAAGGTTCTTTAGAAGTTCTTCAAAATAGCTTTCAAGTTTTATGCCAGCATTGGCTACTTCTGAGTCAGGCTGTTGGATAAAAATAAAAATATGAATTAAAAAATAAGACCTACTTTTTAGAYAGTCATAAATGTAATCTCTTACATTACATTTTCTGTTCACCTTTGACTCTTGAGATTATGAATGTAAATTAACTGTTTTGGAAAATTTTATGTACAGCCATTAACAAAATACGTAGGAGTTGGGGGGCTAGAAAAAGTCTGGATGTTGGCTGAAAACTAAATAAAAGACTGACTTATCTGAATTGTCCAAAATGGAGGTAGTAATGGTAGGACTGGATTACTGAAGACAGATCAGTGAGATGCCATAAGCATAGGATCACAAAACAGGTATTTTTAGAACAAGTTAAAAAGAAATGTGGTACTACAGAATGAGTAACAAAAGGCCACAGGTTTCAAATGAACTGAGACCAGAAAAATTTAAACAAGAACTTTTTGGACATATCTTTAATATTTCAAGATAAACATGAAAAAGATTGAAGTCTAGAAGTATAATATTCCATGAAAAAGAGATGGGATGACAAAGAATACTTTTCATTTTGAAGAATATTTTTAAATTGTCCTCAAGTTATCAGCTCTAATTTGCATCTGTACTCACCATGCAATAAACCTTTGAATATAAATTTGGACAATCTTTCTAACATATCTTAACAGACCTGCAACTTCAAAATTTATTCCAGTGCACACATTTTGGTCTCTGTATACATTTAGAAGGGGTCTGGGCTAAGATGACTTCCATACATTGCTATTTCCTCTCCCCACCTCACCTCATTGAATTCAGCACAGTTTTGAAAGATCAGTCTAAAATCAGCTACAAAATCTTCAGGTTTTGTGTACATGAAATAATCTTCTTGTAGTCTTTTCTTGATAGTTGACAAGTCCATTGGATTTTTAATTATTTTGTAATAATCAGGCACCTTCAAAATAAATGAGATGTTATACTACAATAACTGACTTCTACCTGGTCCTAAATACACTGTATAAGAAGGGATATAAAATTGAGATTGTTTTCATTGCTCTTCTCTATACCATTTTGTCACTGGTAAGAAAACCTACACAGTAACACACTACTGCATTCTACACATTAGGAAATGTTCTGTCACTTTTTCCAAAAAATTTAACCAATATTTTTATGAAAAATTATTTTCACATAGTCCCTCTTGAACCTTCTCTTCTCTATTCTCTTTTTTATTAAGCAAATAACAATTACTAGAGAATTACTAGCTGAATGGCATGATTTTACTGCATACCATTATAGCAAGTGGTAAAGAAGGGTTTAATCCCCAGCTTGTGGCTTAGTGGTATGATCCTGCATAAGTTACTTGACCTCAAAGAAACCTCAATTCTTCATATTCCAAATATGGATAATCCTAGCAACCTCATAGGACTGATATGATTATATGAAATCTGTCTGTCTATCTATCTATCTATCTATCTATCTATCTATCTATCTATCGCAAGAAAAAGGGAGGTATTTTACTGTTGCAGCTGTAAGCCAAGATCATAAAAAGCACCAATCTGGTGTCAAAAATTTTAAATCTGTACTGGCATTACAAGCCTTTTTGGGTACAAAAAACCTATACTCCTGAAGTATTTATTTCCTTTTTCTATCTTAAGTTCTCAAAAGTCGTTCTCAAGAAAAGAGATGATATTCACTAAACTAGTTTTCTTTGCATTAATTTTTTCAATTTTCTAAATTTAAAAAACAAATTTATTATGTTTAAAAGAAACTTCAGATATCATAGAATATATTTTGGGTAGTGAACCTTTTCCAGCACTCTAAAAGAATGCAACAAAGTCATATCAAACTTTCAATATGAACCTAGTTGAAGCCAATGATTAATATACATACATATCCCCTCCTGTTTTTAAAAAATGTGTTGGTTAAAAGTTCACTTATTACTTAAGTATAGACCTATAAATCAAAATAAGTACAGAAAATGTGTGTGTGTGGGGGGTCTTTACCTAAAATGTGAAGTTTTATCCCCAACAGTTTAGAACATATGTCTAAACCTTCTGAGATACAAACAGAAATCATCTGCAAATAGTAGGTAAACTAGGTGAGATGAGAAGAAAGAATACTTGAGAAATGATACTTAAAATGTATCTATTTAGGATCAAAGCATTCCATATGTATAAAATTTTTAAAACTTGGATTAGATGTAAGAAACTATTGAAAAATAGCATAGAAAGTACATTTTCATGAATAAAATTTAAAAAATCATCTTATTGTATAAATATGTACAAGATAACATTAATACTTACAGTTAGAGGAACAGGGTCTTGAAAAGCCAGGCTCATTTCATGACAGTAAAGAAATAAAAGGAGGCGTTCACACTTCTAAGCAAAAATAAACAAAAATATAACACAACAATAGTCACAGCTTATTTTCCTTAAGCATTTCATAGGTCACCAAGTACAAGATTAATAATTAAAACCTGATGAATATAGGAAAAACACTGAATACTGAAATCTTGYTTTCTTTCCCAATTAGCAACTGTAGTGTTTGATAATTTAGGATATACCTGATGTTTGAGATATTTTGTTCACTGTAATTAAGTGAACAAAAATAGTAGCACTAGAAACCCATTTGAAGTTCTTTACAATGAATTCCACTAATCCAGTCTGTGTACTGTGAATTAGAAATCAATAAAGGAAGACCATATGGCTATTAAGAGATCCAAAGGTGCAGCTTTTTCTTTTATGTGTCCATTCTTTTTTGGCAGGGGGTGGGGTGGGGTACTGGAGATTGAACTCAGGGGTACTTGACCACTGAGCCACATCCCCAGCCCTATTTTGTATTTTTTTTTTTTTTTTTTAAGAGACAGGATCTGACTTGCTTAGCACCTCAGTTTTGCTGAGGCTGGCTTTGAACTCGTGATCCTCCTGCCTCAGTCTCCAGAGTCGCTGGGATTATAGGCTTGCACCACTGTGCCCTGCTTGTGTGTCCATTCTTAAGGCCCCTTGAAAGCAGATGGTCCCATTGCAGGCTCTGCCACTTCTCTGCTTATGAGTTTATCCTAGTAAACATTAGTGTTGTGAACACTTGTTGTGTAGTGCCAACAACAAGTGTTTCTGCCCTCTCGTGCATGTCAATTTCCATACTGTTTTCTACTTCATAATTTAGCAAAGGACATTCTTAGCCTAACCTAGTAGCTTTAAATATTAATTATAGATAAATATATAAGCTGGAATTGATACAAATATAGAACCCACTTGGTGAAAGAATAGAATAATTTCTAGGAATAGAAAAGCCCATCTCAGTGCCAATTCTCAACAAATTCTGAGGAAGAAGACTTATCTATGGTAGAAATGAAACAAAATATTTCCTCAAAGTAGACTAGATTTAAAGACCCAAGATCTATAAGAGAGAAGACATTTATCTTGTTCAGAGACACTATTGTAAGCTTCTATGTTGTGTATGTGTGTGTGTTAGTCTGCCTTTAAATATTTAAGATTCCTAATCCTTTTGTTAAAAAAAAATTCCTACAGAAAAAAAGAAATCAGTTTAAAATTTAATGCACTAACAAAAAGTTGTCTATTACTCTAAGGTTGAGATGCTCAAAGACTTACCCTTTTATCTATTGGTGTTAATTTAACAAGGCCTTCGGTTTTCCTTTTTTCTGAGTTGTGACTGGGAGCATCACAATCATATTCAACTTCTGGCTTAGATAAGTCTCGGCAGAAAGTACAAATCCACTCTCCACTGTTGGGTAAAGGACTTTTGAGTTTCTATTGCATCATGTTTCCCTTTCCCACCTCATCTTACATGCCATCTATGACAGACTTGGCATAAATTTTAATCACTAAGATTTACCCCATACTTACTAGGTACAAAGCASGATGTGGGAAGAGAAAACAGCAGAAATGTAATGCCATGGCCTAAGTCTAGTTAAAGTGTAGTTAAAGAGGCATGAAATTCATACATGCAAAAAAAAAAAATCTAAAGTAAATAAAAATTTAAAAAAGTAAATAAAAATTTTAAAAAATCTAAAGTAAATAAAAATTTTAAAAAAATCTAAAGTAAATAAAAATTAAAATAGGGCTGATATGAGGTGTAATTAGCATTTTTACTCAGAGGATTCAGGATAAAAGAAAAACCCTCGGAAGAATGAAGGAATTTTGGATTGGGCAAGGGCAGGAAGGGACTTGGTGGTAGGAAAGATGGTGGAATGAGATGGACATCATTATTCTAGGTTCATGTATGATTGCACAAATGGTGTGACTCTACACCATATAAAATTGTCCTCCATTTGTGTACAATGATCGAAATGCATTCTGCTGTCACGTATAACTAATTAGAAAAGAAAAACTCTTGGTATTATTGTTGTAACTGGCAGTTTGAAAGGACTGTTAATATTTTTCCTTATAATGGACTAGTTTTTGAGAGAAGTACAGGGCATAGGAGACATGGTATGGGAAACCTGAGATTACTGTTAGGGATTTTGAGGACATTTGCGACAAGTGAAATTTCATTTAAGTTTTTACACAAAGGTTTTATGTTATAATAATCATTAAAAGTTGATTACTGTTATTATTTTATTATTTTGAAGTGCTAGGGATTGAACCTAGGACTTCAAGCATGCTAACCAAGCACTCTACCACTGAGCCCACCCCAGCCCTGTTGCTTTTATTTATAGTAAAAGAATGTGAAAAGGGAGTACTTTCTTACCTTGGAAAGTTTGTCAATGTGGGCACATGACAAGAAAGATGGAAGACTTTGGGACACTTCTCACAACACAGAAGTTCCCCTCCGTTTTGACAAACTGCACACCAGTCCTCATTGGGGTCATCCTCCTTCCTCGTCTCTCCAACATGAAGAGGCGACTTCTGGGAGGCATCTGACCACTCGGACTTTCCATTTGAGGAACTTTCCTGGTGGAGTCCAGGCTGATCTCCTGTGCTATCAGGGGCATCGGATCTTAACACAGTTTCCTCAGAAGCAGAGTTCTGACTGCTGTTTAAGAGTAGGGAAGTAAGTATGCTTCTTGGATAGTTCGTCTGCAATGAGAGAATACAGAAAAAAAAAATACACATATGCATGTATATACATATATATATATACACACAAATGTATTTTATTTTGAAATTGGCATTTTTGCATTATATATGTATATATGATTTTTTTTACCACATATATGTATGTGTAAATATATACACACACACACACACATGAATGTTTTTTCAAAGTGGCTTTTTTGTATTAGCACTACTTCAGTTTTGGACTGTAGACCACTCTCATGGGCACCTGGTGAGTACCTGTGAGAATAGGACATGTTTACCACTAACTGTATTAGTCTCTAATGAGTGGATAATGGGCATAAGGGAAGTGGATAACATAGTCTGCTGATGGCTAAAGAAATTAGAGACTAGGTGAGTACTGTGAAAGAACCACATGAACTGTAAATATAATGTAACTTTTTGGAGCTGTTAATTCAAATTACACCTAAGACAAAAAATTATACCTCTAATATGATTCTAAATTTTGTGTTGGATCCTAGGATAGTGCAGATTTCTGATCAATGTTCTCTCATTTAAATGTTTTTCTAAAATTTCAAAGTAATAAATGTATATATATAGTTAACAGAACTCATTCCTTGGAAGCAACAATTTTCAAATTTATCTTTTTTTCCCCCCTGAATTTACATTAATTATTTCATTTTGTTGTTGGTTTTTGAGATAGGGTCTTGTTATTTTGCCCAGGTTGGCCTTGAACTTCCATTTCTCCTGCCTCTGTCTAGGCACACACTACTGTATCCAGCTTACCACATTTCTAAATAAAATGCTTCTACGACAATTTCTTGCATTTCAATTTTCATTTTTTTTTTTTTTTTGTAATACTGGGGATTGAACCCAGAGGAGCTTTACAACTGAGCTACAACACCAGCCCCTCCCCCTCAACATTTTGAGACAGGGTTTCACTAGATTATAGGGTGCCACTGTGCCTCTTAACAGTTTTTACTAAGCATTGCTTCATTGCTTTTTCAGTTGGTAGAAGCCAGTATAAATGTTTATAGCTAGCATCTACTCCAAATGATCTATCATAATTGGCTAAATATTCTGAGATTCAGAATTTTTGCTAAATGTGTATTCRGATTATATTTTGATTATATCAGTTTTTAGGTACTACTATATTCAGGTGTTTGTTTCATCATTATGATTAAGTAAATATTATCCTGGGGAACAACAAAATGTACTATTGATATATTCTCTTATACTTTTTGTTTTTACTAGGAGTTGGTTATCACTTTTTTTTTTTCATTTGCTATTTTTCTAGGCACCCATCTCTATGCCAATCTCTGTAGGGTAGATGCTTTAATACACTGCAAGCATTTTTCTCCCTTTAGATACACCCCTGTGGAGTCTTCTGTCCTTTTGCTATAGACTGTTCTGCAGGAGCTACTATACTAAAGACTATGCTTTTTTTTTTTTTTTTCCTTTTTACCCCCTAAGTATGAGTAGTATTGCAAGCACTGATGTAATTACATTTTGAGGCCTAGATTCTTCATCTGATTCTTGTTTAACTATAACAACAGGGAAATCATAATTTTCGGGTGGTCCACTGTTTTCTTGTTTTATTCGGATTGGCTCCAACATGACCACTGGGACTTTGTGGGTAGAATCAGCTCCTGCTGGTTTGCTGGAAGAGCCAGAGCTATAAAGTATAAAAGGGGGAGAGAAAAAAAAATTAAAAAAAAAATATACTAAAAAATATCACATCAAATACACTACAAAAATAGCACTCTGGAAAAATGCTGTGTCTTCACAACAAAAATTACTTTATATCAGTAATAAATGATGCATAACTGAAATGTAATTGCTGTATGAACACATTTCATTTATGATAAAAATGCTTTACATATTGACTTATCCAAATAGTTACATTTCATATATGGAAGGACAAATAGAATATTGCTTAAAACTGACTTCAAAATTCTGAGGGTCTATAAATGGGCAACCAGATTTGGTATCTTTGAAGTAGTATCATTTTGTGGGCTTTCTTAGTTCCCTTTCTAGCCAATGATAATGAGAACTTGAGGCTCTCATTAAGAATTTGTTGTCAAAGCGTGAAGACAAGAAATCATTTGTTGGTGTTCTGCTACTTAAAGAAGTTAATTGAACAAAAACCTTGTACAGATAGCCACAATGTTCTCATGAATGTGTCTTTCATTTAAGAAAGTTAAAAACTGGGTTCACTAGGACCAATTTTTAAACATAAAGAGGGGAAGAGTATAAAATATATTAACAATTTATTTTCCATGGGTAAAATAGCAGAATTAATGTTTAATCACTAGAAAAGTCAGAGAACACTGAAATTAGTATGAAATTATTATTTCCTTTACATAAAATTTTATGTGGTGCTGTCATACCAATTTTCCTTGTTATTATAATATCTTATATATTTTCTTACTTGTTAATATAAACAAATGTGTACTTAATATAAAGGTGTACTTAAATATGAAACAAAGGTGTACTTAATCCTTTAATATTAAAATCATTAAAATTTTAATTAAAGATAAAGAAGCTGTTCAGAATGCAGTGAGTACTAAAACATACTGACACTGGCAAAAGAAATCTGATTATACAGATTTTATGTATAGTTGCCCTCCATATCCATGGGTTCCACATCCATGGATTCAACCAACATGTGGATGGGAAATATTTTGAAGAAATAAACTGCATCTATAATGAACATGTATAGACTTTCTTTTTGGTCATAATTCCCTAAACAATACAGTGTAACAACTATTTAAACAGCATTTACATTGTATTAAGTATTATAAGTAATCTAACGATAATTTAAAGTACACAGGAGGATACATGTAGTTCATATGCAAATACTATGCCATTTTATATAAGAGACTTGAGTATCTGCAGATTTTAGTATCCTCAAGAGGATCCTGGAAACAATTTATCATGGATACTGAGGGACAASTGCACTAGAGAATATGGTTAAGTCTATTTACCTTCCTCGGCTCCCAACGCTGGAGGCACTAGGTGAACGTATTGGGGGGTGGACACTAGTCATAGTAACAGGTCCTAAGGAGGGGGAAATCATACACATTCATAAATGAATTAATAATTAAGTATTGAAGTCCTGTTTAACATGCTCACTTGGGAACATGCAACAAAATTCGATGAAACAATAAGCACTTGACAAAATCCAAGAGTAGTCTTTTATGTCTTATTAGAGCAAGATCTTTAACCTTGGCACTACTGACTTTGGGCAACAGAATTTTTTGTTGTCAAAGAATGATTTTGCTTTAAAGAATGTTTTGCAGCATCTCTGGCCTATACAAGTTATGAATTGCTAGTAGCAACTCTCCAAATGTTACAACTTGGAGTGTGACAAAAAAAAAATTTCTCCAAAACAAGCATGGTAGCACATACCTATAATTCCAGCTACTCCAGAAGGCTGAGGCAAGAGGATTGCCAAGTTTAATGATAGAGTGTTTGCCTTGCTTGCTTGTATATGCAAAGCCAGGGGCACTTTAACACTGAGTTATGTCCCAGCCCTTTTTCAAATTTTCAAATTTTGAGACAGGGTCTCCCTAAGATGCTGAACTGGCCTCAGACTTGCAATCCTCTGCCTCAGACTCCCGAGTAGCRATTACAGGTGTGCTACTGCACCTGGCAAAGAATAAACATTTTTGTTTAATATGTTTTATTGGCCATATGTATTGCCTCTTTACAGAATTATCTATTCACATGTCCTTATTTATTTGTATAAACTTGTCGTGTGGTAAATAATTTCTCTGCTATAATTTATCTTAAGTTTATTAGTTTAAAATAGGTATCTCCATTTAGATTCTGTAACTGTCTTATATTCATGTGACTGGTGAAAGAATAATAGATTCTTCATTTCAGTTTAAAACACCCATTATGCCTAGGTCTCTAGGAGTAGTAATAGAGGGTTTTGCTCTCAGAAGAAATGAGTAGATACATTAAATATTCTTTTTTTTTTCTTTCTTTTTTTTGGTACCAGAGATTGAACTCAGGGGCACTTGACCACTGAGCCACATCCCAAGCTCTGTTTTGTWTTTTACTTAAAGAGTCAGGGTCTCACTGAGTTACTTAGCACCTGCTTTTGCTGAGGCAGGCTTTGAACTCATGATCCTCCTGCCTTAGCCTCCTGAGCCACTGGCATTACAGGCGTGCATCACCATACCCGGCAACATTAAATATTCTCAAAACACAAAAAACCCACCAAAAGACTGAGGCTGCTCTATKTGTCATCACTAGGAAATTTTAATGGGCAAATCACATCCTAAAGAAGATCACATCACGTTCAACTTAATTTATTAATAAGTACAATATTAATTTTCTCCAAGAAGTGCTATAATGCCTATAAATTTTATTGAAATTGAGAATATAAAGAAGTTTCACCTTTGCTTCCTTCATTGTAAGTAATCTTAATCCTTCATCAAAAAAGGGGTGAAGGGGGCTGGAGCTAYAGCTCAGTGGCAGAGCACTTGCCTAGCATATGTGTGGCACTGGGTTCAATCCTTAGCACCATATGAAAATAAACAAATAAAATAAAGGCATCCTGTCCATCTATAACTATTTATATATATTAAAAAAAGGGGGAGGAGGTGAAGGAATTTTAAATCCTTAAGAATAAAAACTAGAAAGACAATTATATAATCAAAAGAAGTATATTTTACCTGCAAGGCCTGGAGATGGCACTGATGAATTTGGTGATTGCACAGTTCTGTTTGAGGGTGGTCTTGGCTGGCCATGATCTATGGTAGCTTCTTTCCTCACCATATTGTCTAGCATAATAGTACTTGAGCAATCAATCTTATAAGAAAAGAAATTATTTCTGGGCAAACTGCTCTTGCAAGATAAAAGCAAAGTTTATAAGAAAACTTCAATAACAAATACTATCAAACAATAAGACACATAAATATAACATTTGAGAAGTTCTGATTGATAGTTCTCCCATAAACAATCCCAAATAAAAATTTTCACGCTTCTTACTATTCTACCTTGGCAAATAACTGAGGATATACTATTGTCCTCAGTTATACCAGGAGTTGGTATGAGAAAAAAGTAATATCATGTGTGATTCACACTTTAAAAAATAGCACAATTTTATATTATTGCAAATCTCTTTAATATCTGCTTTAAAAGTGACGAAACAGGTTCTTGTATCTGCTTCTGCATTCAATCAGTTGTGATTTGTGGTTTTGGTTGAAGAATATGAGAAAATCTGGTCTCATACAGGACTTTGAGGATGCTCAGAGTTATAGCCCGTTTAAGTCTGTGGCCCTCAATTTAACAAGTGATATTCTGAGTACGTACCATAGAGATAAAATAAGTCTACATATCACATAGTTCTAGAGCACCAGGCTCACTAAGTACACTACTGTTTTTTAGGAACAACAAAACAAAACAAAAAGCATTCCCTTTAATGCAACAGATAATTAACACTGCTTTCCTAATCCTTTACCAGACTAAATACTGATAAATTTCTAATTAAGAGTTTAATGCTTTAGATGCAAATATTCTACCTGCCCAAACACACCAAATTTTCCAAGAATGTTTTTGTGATTTAAATCCAGTTCAATTCTCTAACAGTTCCAGCTTTTCTCAGAATTCTACAAGGGAATATACGGGCATAGATTGTATAATTAATTAATTTGCTTCTGCACCTAGAATAGTGCAAAYTGTGAAGCATCCTTGGTAGAATTAATAGTCACTCCAACTCAAGTTAGGTACTTCAGTTGCCGAAGACTAGTACACAAAGGGCCACCTGTATGAGGAAGACAATTTTACTTCCTGGGGTCTGTATTCCTTGGGGGAGAAAAGATGGGTACCTCAGGTCTTTCATATTTTATTATTCTTTTGGCAATACCTTGGCCAATACTTTTCAGACAGAGCAAGAAGACCAGAATGACTGAATTTAACAAAAGGAAAGTCATTTACATTGTGTAATAACCCTAAAAGCTAAATAAAACAGTGGGAATTAGAAAAGTGAAAATAAAAGAATCAACTTATATGGTAGCGATCTATCTACAGAATATTGGAAATATTTTTTAAAAATGTATACTGATCAAAGTTAAGAGCTTAGAGAGTGAATATATTATTTAAATATAAAGCAAGTCAGAGGAAATTTTGCACTGTTCAGCAGAAAATATTTTGATTTCTATTACTAAACTTGTCTTGTCTCATCTGATGTCTTAATATATAACATCCATCTCTAGCTACCCTTGTTTTAACATACCATATCCCAGACATTCAACTTGCCAGTCTTTCTTCTTATATCTTTTCTCCTTTCCCAGCTTTGATTCCATTATCATTGTTATCAATCATTTACAAACACCTTTGACTGCAGTGCCCTGAAAGGCATTCTGTTGTATAAATGTTTACAACTTTTATTAACTGCTGTTATAATATTTTTAAGAAATAAACTAACTTCTAAAAACAAAACAACCTATAATCCAAACATATGCCAGTTACTGAATCCAATTTAACTGGCAATTTCCAAAAGAGGATGTTGATATAAATTTTCTGTGTATACTTACATCTGGAAGAGAAGGAAGATTGTAAGAACCTCCCACTGGTGAGCTCAAATCGATCATGGGTGAACCAAAAGTCTTTCCATCGTATCCTGCTGCACTAGTGATGGTAGGGCTGGARGGAGTGGAGGATGTGCTGCTGGCAGTTGATGGGGTGGCCTGTCCACTGCTGATCTGCCACTACAGAAGAGAAGAAAACGGACTATTGATAGATAGGCCTACAACATGACATGTACTGATCACTCTAACACAAAATGAAGTAAAAGACACATTCTGGTGTTTGAACTCACATGTAATGTTCTTTTTCCCCCACATTTTTATTGGTGCACTGTAGTTGTACATATTTATGGGATTTGTTGTTACACATTCATACATGCATACTTGTTGAGAGCCACAGCCGAAGGGGCCCCAGCAAACTTCCAGCTGCCAGCTGATGATTGGCTCACAGTGGCCCCAGCAGAAGGGGCCCCAGCAAACTTTCAGCTGTCAGCTGATGATTGGCTCACAGCGGCCCCAGCAAACTTCTAGCTGCCAACTGATTGGCTCCTCTGCGGTGATGCTCATTGGGTTGTTTCCCCGCCCTTTCAGACCATGGAGCTGCTCACTGAGGGACTTTTTTGGCTCCGCCCATGCRGAGCAGGAGGAGTGGGGGAGGTGGAGAGGCTTGTGGGAAGCTGGTGGTGGCAGTTGGGCTCTGAGGGTTTTCCTGAAGAGCTGTGTGGTGCGGTGTGTGTGTTCTAAAAATAAAGTTCGTTTCTTTTGACAAGTGGCTCCTGAATTGTGCCCAGCCAGACTGCGGCATTTGGTGGCCCGTACGGGGAACGAACCCGTGACCTTGGCGTTATTGCCAGAATTCATATTTTCATCCCAGTGCCGGTGAAGACAAAGATAAAACCAATCTACAGCTTCTGCAATAGCTATCACTGAACTGCCTGCAGAACTTGCCTGGATTATGTATCACTTGTATGCATTTTGAACTCACTTGTATGCATTGTGAACTATCTGTTGGTGCAGCGACTTGTGGTAGTGTTGGAGTATTTTTGCTGATGGTGTCATCGGTGGTACAATTTTTCCACAAGGAGCCATCAATTGGCTTGGTGTATCCTCCTTCCTTCTGCTTGTGATGGTTGTTCAGCTAAAATTTGGGGGCCAACAGAGGTGAGGCAAAGAACCCCCCCCACCCCCTGCTGGTACAAAGACCTATCCACACGTGTGGCTGTATCCTGGACCGGTAGTCAATGAAGGGTAAGATCCAATTGCAATGGTAACAACCTAAGACAGGAGGCTGATGCCTTGAGGTCAGTTCATCCAATGACGGGTAAGGACCATATGTGGTATTGGACAACCTAAGGCAGGCACAGTCCCTAAGCCACATGCTTGTTGTTTAAACAGAGAGGGGGAGATGTTGAGAGCCACAGCCGAAGGAGCCCCAGCAAACTTCCAGCTGCCAGCACCAGCTACCAGCTGATGATTGGCTCACAGCGGCCCCAGCAAACTTCTAGCTGCCAACTGCTTGGCTCCTCTGCGGTGATGCTCATTGAGTTGTTGCCCCACCCTTTCAGGCCACTGAGCCTGCTCATTGGGGGACTTTTTTTGGCTCTGCCCATGTGACCCAGTCAATCGGCCTCAAGAGCAGGAGGAGTGGGGGAGGTGGAGAGGCTTGTGGGAAGCTGGTGGTGGCAGTTGGGCTCTGAGGGTTTTCCTGAAGAGCTGTGTGGTGCGGTGTGTGTGTTCCAAAAATAAAGTTCGTTTCTTTTGACAAGTGGCTTCTGAATTGTGCCCAGCCAGACTGCCRCACATACCAATAAACAATATTATAATTTGGCTAGTATCACTCCCCAGCACTTCCCCTCCCAGCCCCCCACCATCTTGGTCCCTTTTCTCTACTGATCTCCCTTTGATCTGCCTGCTTTTTCTTTTTCCTCTCTAGCCATCACATGAGAGAAAACACAGGACCCTTAACTTTCTGATTTTGACTTATTTCACTTAACATGGTCTCTAGTTCCATCCATTTTCCTGCAAATGGATATTTTATTTATGGCTGAATAAAACTCCACTGTGTATTTCTTTATCCATCATCTGTTGATGGACACCTAGGCTGGCCCCACAGCTTGGTTACTGGGAAATGTGCTGTTAGAAACATGGGTTTAATTTTTCAGGGTGAATACTGACAAGTGGTATAGCTGGGTCATATGATGGTTCCATGCCTAGTTRCCGCAGTCTGGCTGGGCACAAATCACTGAGCCGCCACAAAAGCACTTGTATGTTCAAACAGGAAACTTTATTGCCCGAACTCCACCAGCACTCCTCGCACACTTCCCTGGAACTCCCCCAGCTCTCCACCGGGCTCCACCCCAACTCTCTCAGAACTCGGGAACTCCAAAGTAGGGGGCCCCTGAGGCAGCAAGAGCCGCCCTATTGCTGGACAGCAAAGGTCTAATATACAACTGAATACAGTTTAACTAACCATCATCATCTCAATGGTGTCACCTTTCAAACATTCCCTCTGGCAAAATGCCAGGCATCATTCAGACTGGGATGTGGCCCTCAACACCTAGTCTTTTGGGGAACCTCCATACTGACTAATCTACAATCTCATCAATAGTGTTGAAGTGATCCTTTTTCTTCAYATCCTCTTCAGCATTTATTATTATTGCATAATTGATGACGACCATTCAGAGTGGCATGAGATCAAATCTCAGTGTAGTGTTGATTTGCATTTCCCAAATTGCTAATGATGTTAAACATTCTTTCATAGATTTGTTGGCCATTTGTATTCCTTTTGAGATATGTCTGTTTAATTCATTTGCCCAATTATCAATTGGGTTATTTGACTTTTTGGTGTAAAATTTTTGAGCTTTTTATACATTCTGGATATTAATCCTCTGTCAGAAGAGTAGTTAGCAAAGATTTTTCTCCCATTCTGTAGGTTGTCTCTTCATATTACTAATTGTTTCCTTTGCTGTGCAAAAGCTTTTAAATTTGATGCCATACCAATTAGTAACACTTGGTATGTGAACTTTAAGGGTTCTACTGAGAAAGTCATTGCCTGTGCCTCTATGCTGGAGTGTTGGCCCTACATTTTCTTCCAAAAGTTGTACAGTTTCTGGTCTAATTCCTAGGTTTTTGATCCATTTTGAGTTGATTTTTGGGCAGGGTGAGATAAGGTTCTAGTCTCATTCTTTTACACATAGATAACTAGTTTTCCCAGTACTATTTTTTAAAATGGCAGTCTTTTCTCCCATGTATATTTTGGCACCTTTATCAAGGATCAATGGCTATAGGTGTATGGGTTTGTTTCTGTGTCTTCTACTCTGTTGATTGGTTTGTGTTGTCTGTTTTTAGGCCAGTACCATGCATTTTTTTKTTGTTGTTGTTGTTACTATAGTTCTTCAGTATAATTTGAAATCAGGTATTGTGATGCCTCCAGCATTGCTTTTTTGGCTTAGAATTGCTTTGGCTATTTGGGACTTTTATTCTATTATTTTTAACATTTATTTTTTACTTATAGGTGGACACAATACTTTTATTTTTACGTGGTGCTGAGGATTGAACCCAGTGCCTCATGCATGCTAGATGAGCTCTCTACCTCTGAGCCACAACCCCACCCCGGGGTCTTTTATGCTTCCAAGTGAATTTTAGGATTGTTTTTTCTAGTTCTGTGAAGGTCATTAATATTTTTAATGGGAATTGCATTGAATCTGTATATTGCTTTTGATAGTATGGCCATTTTAATAATATTAATTCTGCCTATCTATGAACCTGAGAGGCTTTTCCATCTTGTTTTTTCTTCAATATTCTGTAGTTTCCATTGTAGAGGTCATTCACCTCCTTGATTAGATTTATTCCTAGATATTTTGAGGCTAATGTGAATGGAATTGTTCTAATAATTTTGCTGGACATAGCAGTTTTGGTTGACAGATTTTTTTTTTTTTTTCAGGACTTAGAATGCATCATTTCAAGCCCTCCTGGCCTTTAGAGTTTGTGCTAAGAAATCAAAAATGACTCTTAAATGCTTACCTGTAAATGTGACTTGACATTTTTCTCTTAAAAGCTTTTAAAATTCTATCCTTGTTCTCTGTGTTATACATTTTAATTATAATGTGTAGTGGAGAGGTTCTTGGATCTTTTCTCTTTGGGGTTCTAAGTGCCTCCTGTATCTGGGTGTCTATCTCATTAAATATGCTGACGATATAGCAAGGACAATCTGATTGTACATACAAACATATAGACACACAGAGCATGAACTTCTCAAATAAAAATTTCAAATGACTGGATTAAAATGAATGTCGTAGGGTTGGACATATAGCTCAGCTGGTAGAGTGCTTGCTTGGCATGCATAAAGCCCTGGGGTTCAATCCCCAGCATCACACACACAAAAAAGTCCTAAAATTATGGGATAAACATCATCTTTATTTTGGTCTTGATGAASAAATTAAACCAAAATCCCTTCATAAGCTTTTAGCTAAAAAGGCTGTTGACACTGAGATGGTTTTTATTTTAGCATAAAAATTTTAGAAAACATTTTGATCCAAAAACATCAAGAATATAAATAATAAACCACATCATATCTAATATATAATGCTAAATTTTACATTTAACAGATGTATATATATTCTATATTAAAATTGTGCTATAACTAAGTTTGTTTTCAGGAAATCTTGAAACACTTTCTCTGTGGACTGTAACTAGGATTTGTTATTTTTTTACATATATATTTTAAATTTTTTTAATTGTCACTGGACTTTGTTTATTAATATGCAGTGCTGAGAATCAAACCCAGTGCCTCACACTCACACATGCTAGGCAAGCACTCTAACACTGAGCCACAATCCTGAAACAGATTTGTTATATTTTTGTTGGAAAATATAATGTGTTCATCTAAATGTTGTATATACTGGTATTGCAAAAAATGTAATACCAAGAACTCTTTGATTGTACAGGGCATTTACTGCTACAGCAGTGGTTTGATTTCTTTTGTTGATTACAAACAACAAGACCCTTTCTCTTAAGCTTGTCTCCATAGGTTTGTCTGTAATAAATTTTATAATTGGCATTCATTAAAAAAAAAAAAGCAAGCTTGCTCTTACTCTTCGGAGGCTGTTGCTTAATTTATAAATTCAATGTAATTTGAAAATAAAATGAAGCAGAATCAGCAACTGAGGAGAGTAAGTAAACATACCTGTTTTATGGCTTGCTGAGCCAAAAAAGCCATCTGCAGGGGGTTGGGCTTTACTGCTGGTCGTGGGATATTCTGGGTTGGTGGATATCTCAGCTGTTGAGGATGAGGGGGAAGAACTGGTCCATTAGGTTTAGGGCTGTGATTCTGAAAGTTTATCAAACGTGGAGGGGGTTGCTAGAAAAAATAAATAAGACCACTTCAGTAACAGCCATCTCCATAAAGACAAGTTAGATCTCTATTTCAACAAAACTTTTGAAGAAAGACAAAAACTCTTCCATAGAGGAATCCACTCATTTAGATTACAAAAAGGAAATGGGGAGGGGGGATGACAGGTAGAATTTCAGAATTTGTGTAACTGATTTCTGAAAAGAGTTTTATTAGAAAAGAATCTTGGAAGAGAGTTGCTAACTAATTTGTAAGTGGCTATAGTAATGGACCTTGGTCATGTTGTGAAGTAGGCAAAGGTGTTTTGGGTATCCTTCCTTCTTCAAACCAAGTGATGGTAGAATAATAATTGCTAACAGTTATTGAATGTTTGTTATGTGCCAGGTATTGCTTTAAATGCTTCACATTATATTAACTCATTTTTCTTAACAATTCTATGAGAAAGGCATAATCTCTATTTTATATAAGAAAACTAAGGCATAAAGAATTTAAGTAACTTGTGTTTGACAAGTAGTCTGACTTGAAGGTCTGTACTCTTAACCAACAAATCATTAAGAAAATAGTTGATATTAATAACATTTAAAAATTAATGAATTCTAGATCTCACTGAACTCTAGCTACATGGCAGGCATTTTACTYATGTCATTGAGGTATATGAGGTAGGTATTTTTATCTTTATTTTTCAAATCAGAAAAGTATAGATCAGAAAGCTTAGGTAACTTTAAAAAAGAYACACAGCTAGTAAAAGGCAGTACCCAAAGCTTTACTTAAATCTAGTCTGCTATATCATTACCAAAACATGTTTTAGTGTTCTGTTGGCTGTTGATTAAGACTGACTAATTATAGTTAAGAGAGGATGAGACTACCTAAAAAAATAAATTTTGAAAAGCAACTCTCCAAAGGAAAGATTGATTACAGGAAGGCTAGGTGAGGATATCTGAGATTAGGCAAGAGTTATGAAGGCAAGTCTACACTGTCTCCTCCATAAATGTTAGTTCTGGAGAATAAGACTAGAGTTTTGGAAAAAGAGGACATTCTATGTAAGTATCCTCTTGACCATCCAAATTCTTCCTATAGTTGGCAACTTACTTAAAAAGAAATACTTCTTTTCAAGATAGCTTAAACAAATGTGATCAGAATTGCTCTGAGAAGTGACTATATCTTTATACACTCACAGGGAGACAAATCAATGCAGGATCTAGAAGGTTGAAGTGGCAGCACTTCAAATTGACACTGTGAAGGCACACACAGCTATAAAGTATATCCCTGCCCTCTTTTTTCTTCCTTTTCCTCACGTTTTTGGACTTTACTCTTCAGCCTGGATTAATTCCTTCCCTCTTATCTCTCTAAAATATTTGGTGTTAGGTTCACTTTCATTCAATAGTGGCCAGTAATTATAGACCCAGTGAAAAATAGATTTAATTTCTGGATCAAGTGAAACTCTATAGGCAAAGAATAGAAAAACAATATTAGAGAAAAATATACAACCTTGAAACTTAACAGAATCATAAGCCTGAGGCTACAGCCATTCTTTTTGGTTTTTCTATAAAAGTTTTATGAAGTGTTTTATATCACTGAAGCACAAAAAGAAAATAGTTGAGAAAGCATAGTGGAAACATTGGAAAAATTTTAAACTTACCAAAAGAATAATTTTTTTTTAAACAAGTGAGAAAACAACAAAACAGTCCTTAAGGGAGAATAAAGATAGTGCTATGCGTTTTCTAGCATCCTAGTCTCACTCTCTCCCAGATTGATATTTATGTAACGATTCAACTAAATAATGACAATTGATGCCAGAGTAGCGTGCTATGGCCTGTAAGCAATCTGTAGAACTGGATGTCGACCCTGCCATCCAAGAGCTTACAGGCGTATAAGGAGGTGATGTTTTCACCTTCTCCTAAACTGCTAAAGTGATGGAGCTAATTTATAAGAATCCTGTGACGGGGGAAGTGTCTTGAAAGAATATTAGAAACCAGTTACAATCTTAAAAGAAATAGAAAGACTAGTAATATTTTGGTTAAGTGGAATATTAATTTTCAAGACACAGAGAAAAATAATTGATGATAATAATTGAGAATAGAGAAATAACTGAAAGTTAAACAGACAGAACCTTAATCACAGCGAGAATTACTACGATTTATGTATAAAATGATGTAAGTGACAGTGTTCTGTAACAAGTAGATCTGATCACTAAAGTTTAATGGAGTATACTATACAGTGMCAAATAAACACAGTTTATTACATTTGCACTACTTAATCATATAATTGTTCTATCTCTGCTATTACTCAACTCTTGAACCATGCAGATGACATGGTTAATCTTCAGAGAAAGAATTAGGAAACTACTACGCAAGTGATTTCAGAAGCAATCCTTTACCTGAATATATGGGCAGATATATATAATTTGCATACTCCTAACAGAGGAAGAGGYACGTGGGCAAATAAACTAGTTTATGTAAATAAACTAGTATAAAACTGAGAATAAAGTGGGTAGAACAGAGTACAAGTTTATAGAAGAGGGTAAACCAATGAGTGAAAAATGTAGGGGTTTTGGGCAAACAGCAGATAAAGAGATTAGAGTGTGAAAAAGGTCTAGGAGGCACAGAGAGTAGATGAAAACAAAATGACAGGGTATAAGGACCACAAACATATGAAAAGTATTTCTAAGTGGGAAAATTAGATTATATAATAGAGACTGTACATTATACATAGTACTAAATCCTAGAGACTGAAAATAAGATCCAAAGCAAATTTCTGAGGAAAGCAAGCTAACGGCTCAAAGGTCAATTCAGTTTTGTCACTGCTTATATAAATTTATAAACTCTTTTCACATAGACTCTATTAACTGCCTCATTACTTACTTTTTAGTGAAAGGCAATTAAATGAATTGATGGATCCAACCCTTTTTGTTAATTAGCAATTAAATAAATTCTACCATCTCTCAGACATTTCAATATTAATATAAGCAAATGCTTAGCACAGGCACAACAGATTTAATTCTCTTTCTTTGTACATTTAACTTCAGAAAAATTTCAGTATTCTTTCTAGTCTATTTATGTCATTCTGCTTTCAATTTTCTTAATAAAAATTCAACTCTGCCATGGATGCTCGAGGTATCTAAAACATACAATTCTCTTCCCCCTTGAAGCACTTCACCAAWGATCTTTCAAATTGTTTGCTACTTTCTTTCTGTAAAAACTGGTTGAAACAAAGTTTTAAGTAGGTATATTATTATTTTCCTAGATTTCATATGCCTTCTTAATCAAATTAATAGAAAGCCATAAACYTCAAATATATTATCTTACGCCATTACAGAAATGACAACAAAATCCGGGTCTAACTGGGGATATAGTAGGGGATAGTGGTGAATCTCAGTGGTATAGTATGTGCTTAGCATGTGCAAGGCCCTGGGTTCCATCCCCGTATACCTATTTCACAAGAATAGGCTCTACATATGCCCACAACCTCTATTGAGGGTTGAGGAGTCCTACAAAAAAACATTCCTATGTTGTGTAAAATTGTTACAAGAAAATTATGCTTAATTTAGTTGCTTTTTTCATAGACAACCACTTCATATATTCTACTAGTAAAATACTAGTAAAACCTTCTCACCCCTATTTAATTGGCATGTTTCCTTTTATTTGATAGTGATATCTTATTATTCCTGTTTTCTTTCATTGTTAAGAAATTCTGAGTTAAATGTTATTCCTAAGTATAATAAGAATTCCTAGCCAAGGTTTTTATACTTTGACTCTTATTAAATTCCATTCTATTTCATTTGTGTCATGTACCAAAATCACTTCAAATCCTTTGTGGAAACAGAAACAACATAAATTCATTTTAAAAAGTAACTGAAAACAAGAGTTTATAAGAAATAGACTTTAAAWCCTATTAAATCTTTATTAATCTAACCTGAACAGGATTGTTTATTTAACATGGATTGAAAATTAACAGAATACTTCAATATCTAGTTAAAAATGGTCAATGGAATATTTGTTCAGATAGAATTTGAAAAAGGTTAAAATTTTAATGAACCACACTCCTGCATTTTTCTATTTTGTATTTCATTTTGCCCTATTTTCTAAGATACAATATGGTTTGCTAAATACTGGCACCCCCAAAGAGAACAGATTTTTWAAAAAATATTTATTTTTTAGTTGTAGTTGGACAAAATACCTTTATTTTACTTATGTATTTTTATGTGGTGCTGAGCACCAAACCCAGGACCTCGCCTGTGCTAGGCAAGTGCTCTACTGCTGAGCCACATCCCCAGCCCAAGAACAGATTCTTAAAAGTACTCATCTTTCTGAAGCACTAATAAAGGAATTACAGTTTCTCAGGTTTTCCCATCAATCATAGGCATGGGTTATTTAGGAATACAAACACTTAATCCTGTTATAATTTAAAGACAAGAAACAATAGATGAAAATAAATGTGCCAATTAAATAAATCATTAAATCTTTTTTGAGTAGAACTAAAGATTAAGTGTTAAATCAGGGATCCTTAATGTGGTAAAATTTTATAAATCCACATATTTAAATTAAGGATGATGGATATCTTGGCTATATGAAGAGCTGCTGAACACAATCATACTACAGTTATCTAAGTTAGGACAGGCCTGCTTCCAAATTTACCTGATGAGAGATGGAAGGTTGCTGGATGGGCCCCTGCATTCTAGGGTTTGGTAAACCCACAGGTGCTGGCCTCCGTTGCACCTGTTGCCTCTGAGCCATTACCTGTTGCTGCATATGCTGGAGTCGTAATTGAGCTAGGCTGATCTGTGTTGGAAACTTGGATAACTGGTTTGAAGATAAACCACCTGGTGGCTGTGAATTCTGTTCCACGACAGGATTCTGCTTAGGCATTTGTGGTTGACTCTCTTTATCTTCGATTACTAAAGAACCTAATTAAAGAGAAAAGAGCAAGGGATAAAGTTTTTTGATAATTGGTGAGATACAACATTTTGAATGGCTACTTTTGATGAACTTTAATTGCTAAGAAGTTTTTTGGTCTCTGGACTCTTCATACTCTTAAAAAAAAATAGAGGACCTGAAAGAACTTTTGTTTATGTAGGCTCTATTATCAAAATTTACTATGTAAGAAACGTAAAATGAAAATGTTAAAAAAATCCACTAATCCATTTTAAAATAACAATAAACCAATAACAACATATTTTTATGAAAAAACTGCTTACAAAGGTTTTTAATGAAGTATGCATTGTTTTACACTTTTGAAGATCTAAGCATCTAGCTTAATAGTGAACTTCATATCTGTTTTTGCATTATCTGTCATAATATATTGACTAAATTAAATATATGAAGAAATTTGTTCTCACACAGACATATAGTTGGAAAAGGGAGGCCATTTTTAGAACTAGTATAAATCAAAACAAGCAAATCTGACATTGGCTCYAAAAACCAATCCCACAAAGTATTTGATTCTTTAGTATTAACTATTTGTAATCTCAAGTTTCTTATACCTTTACAATATATACAACTTTAACTCCATAACAGAAAACTGGTTTGCAACTATAGTTTTAAAGGTGTCTCATAGACTTGATTCAAGCTTTATTTCTTTAACAGTAGATATTCAAATGTTTCTGATTCACGAAGCACCAACATCTAAAAACAAATTGTAGCTAAACTGGGCACAGTGGCACATGCCTATAATCCTAACTACTTGGGAGGCTGAGTCAGGGCTAGTTTGAGGTCAGCCTTGGCAACTTAATGAGACTGTCAAAAAATAAAAGGATTGGGAATGTAGCTCAGTGGTAGAGTTCATGTTCCCTCCTCAGTGCCACCAAAAAAGATGAATAAATAAACAAAATTAAATTTTAAAAGTATAGCTATCACTTATTAAATACTTACTGTGTGTTTGGCACTGTGACAGGTAGTCACATATAGGTAAAAAAAAACCTCACATATATGTAAAAAAAACTCATCCAAAGTTATAAAAATATTAACCAAATATTCATCTAATGAATATTTTCCTCTGGCACTCATTCATAAAATGTTTCTCAGAAGCCATGGATAAACAAGTTTGGAAAACTTCTTTTCTTGTGCTAAATAAACTGACCAAGCTGTAAATGACAGCTCTGATAATTTCTACAGTAAAGGATACTTTATTATATCAGAGTTTCACAAACTGACAAAGATATCATGGTTTTGTTTTTGCTATGTAGATTTATCTAAAACTATATCCTTTTATATGCATGGTTTTAAACCTAATTCCTAAATGTAGCTATTTCTACATGTGGGTGTTTTACATGTTATGTTTTAAGTGCAGAGATGTCTATACATGTCTATACATGTGATGACTTCTAACTTGTGATAGGTTCTCAGTACAGAGGCACGTGTTGTGGTAGTGCAGGCTGTGGTGAGGAAGACAGCTACTCACATACATGCTCTATATTTCTAAAGCTGCTTCTTTCTAGTAAGGCAGTGAAAAGTGTGGATGATTCCAGTTGCCTACTATGTTATTAATATGTATAAGGCCACAGATACTGCTAAGAGTGGCCTGCAGGAGTCTCTTTATCACCTCTTCTTCAAGGATTCTTTTTGTTCTTCCCTTGTAAGGATAAGATTTGTGTAAGCCTGTTTCTTCCTTGCCTACTATGTTCTGACAGCACTGGCTCTTTCTTCATTTTTTTTTCTCCTTTCCTACAAAGAATTTAGCCTTGGGGATAAGAGAGTATCCATCTTTGATGATTCTGAAACAAAGTCAAGGAACTAAAAAAGCATCACTGAAGGGAATACTGGCTGTTGATGAATAATGTATAGGGAATTCTTACATTTTTGTTTGTGTAGTTTCCCGGCGAGAAATTAAGAAAGGAGGCAAAAAGACTATTTCTACTCAGCAAATAGCATAACAAGAAAGCTAAAGTAATAATTTCCTGCTGAAATATTTGCACAGATACTCCAGCTCCTGATGTTACTAAGTGATAGTCTATTTCTTTATAATTGGTGAGCTCAAATACTTAAGATTTGGGTACTTTTCTGAATTTATGTTACACTTTAATAGACATATGAACATGTAAAATTATAACTGACAGTGAAAATTGTGGGGGAAAAGTCTTCCCTAAAGAGATAAAGCAACTGAACCATTAGGCATCTGATGGAAAGTAAGGAATAATAAACCATTAGGCATCTAAAGGAAAGTAAGCCAATAATAGCATGAGAAGTGCTATTTTACTATAAAATATTATAGACATGAAAAATATTAGGCAGGTGCAGTGGCACACACCTATAATCCCAGTTACTTGGAAGGCTGTCTCAGAAAAAGAGGAAAAAAAAAATCGTGGGGGCACTGGTGCTGTAGCTCAGTGGCAGAACACCTGCCTGACATGTGCAGGTCTCTAGGTTCCGCCCCAGAATGGGGGGAAAATCCTGTATAAATGATAGTCAAGAGGTAACACATTTTGATAAATATAGAACATGCAAACAGGATTCTAGGGTAATAAAAGCGTCCTGAATCCCTATACCTAGATACCCCATAAGTCAACAAAAGAATATTTTCCTATAACCCAAATATGTACATATGTGCTTATATTCACACGTTATCATATATACAAATTATTGACATGTCTTTAAAATAAGATAACAGCAAACCGAGTAGAAGGGAATCTTAAATAACATCACTGAGAATTCCACAACTGACACCTTGACAAAATGTRCATAATGGCCTACCTAAGTTGATAATATTTTGGGCCCAGAAGCTAGGATCACAGTGAAACTGGATAGTGTTGTTGGTCACTGGGGAAGCATCACACCTTGCACGAAGGAGGTGCCGTAACCGGTATGTAATCTGAAAGAAAGCAGAGAGAAAACTGAACAATATACCTTTATCAGGTAAATAATACATTACCTTTGCCCAATGAATACCTAAAAACCGTCACTGGTATATATGCAACCGATAATAACCAATCATATATAGATCAGAAAAGTGGTCATACAAAATAATTTTCTTTTCAAATCATTAAATTTTTGAGGTGTAACTCAGCTTAACTGTTTCACACTGACCTAAAAAGTATTTTAAGGTAATAGGTTAAAGTGAGTTTTTTAAATTAGTAATGAAAGTTCACAGAAATGTCAAATCAAATATTGTAAAAAAAAAATTAGCATATCTTATTCTTTTATTTACTTTAATTTTTAAGGGCAATACTCAATTTAGACTTAGGGATATAATGAGATATAGAAGATGCAAATTAGTCTGCTTAGGAAATGGAATGAGGTCTGCTAGTAGGATGGTTTTCCTTGCTTCTCATGGTGGCTCAGTTCCTACCACCTCCTGCAGAGGGATTCAAAATCTCTGAAGTGAATCCCATAACATCCATTTCTTTTCACAATCTCAATCTTCATTTTCACTTGGTCCTTAAAGATTTCAGTTCCTGGCATTCTATCATTGTCAGTTCCAATATAACAATTCTGGATGATTTTAATATTCAACCAGATGATCCTTCTTTCCAGCACAGATACTAATAATCCTACAAATCCACCAACTCCTATGAACCTTTGCTCTCACAACTTTTCCAGTCTTTCCATCTCACCTCACTATCCCTCAATATCCAGCTTAATTCCCATGGTCAATCATCACAAACATTTTCTTGCACAGATCCTCAACTTTTCTCTCCACTTACCCAATTTACAAATATTCTTCCCTCTCATGAACTTTCCCCCTGAACGAAACATACTACATTGATTAAATCTTTCTGTATCAATATTAATTTAATTCCTGAAATTGAGCTAATAACACATGACATTTCTCTGGTTCATTCATTTCCCTACTCTCATAAATGACTATTTATGAGACTATTCCTTCTATTTTTCTTTTCAAATTTCCATCATTTTCTCCCCTATTCTCAATCTCAACTGATGGAATTGCTTACCATTTCACTGAGAAAATAGGAACAATCAGGGACCTTGTTCAAATTTCCATCATGTATCAGTTATGTATTACAATGGATGAACTGTCCATGCTGGATAAAAATCAAGCCAGCCCCATCTTTCCTACTCAGCAATTTTCATGAACCATACCCATCAAGATATAAACATGCTTTAACTTTTTCCAGTTAAAACCAAAACTCTTGACTCCTTTTTTCCTACATTTTTTTCCTCTCGTCTACAACAAAACTCAAAACTCATTTATATACATGGTTTCTCCCCTTATTCTTTTCTGAAACCATTATTTTCAAACTTGGAGGATCTTTCACCTCAGGTGGTAATATTGTTCTCCTGGAAACACTTTCTTTACATGGCTTCCTGCATACTGTAATTTCATAGTTTCCCCCTTATTTTGCTGGCAGTTACTTTTTTAATTTTTTAATTGCAGTTGCAGCACTGGCACTAGGGATTAAGCCTAGGCCCTTATAAATGCTAGACAAGCACTCCACCATTGACCTATATCCTTATCCCTTTGTAAAAATTTTGAGACAGAGTATCACTAAACTACCTGGACTGCCCTCAAACTTGTGATCCTCCTGCTTCAGCCTCCTGAGTAGCTGGAATTACAAGAATGTGCTACCATGCCCAATTCAGCTGCTACTTCTGGAAGCCACTGAAAATACAACAGGTTCCAATATCAACCTATTTTTGAAGTGTCCAGTAAGGTGCCAGCTTAATTTTCTTTTTTTTTTTTTTGGCCTTGCACAACCTTTCTCTGCAGTATGGGTGTTTTATTTTCTCCCACAACTCCCATTTGCTGGAATGCCCCAGGGCTCAGTCTTCTGACTTCTCAATCTTATTCTAGACCCATATGCTTTTGGTGATTTCAAGCCAATCTCACAGTTTAAATGACTCCTCATTTTAGATCTGCAGCCTGGATCTCTCTTTTGAACTTGCCTTTCCAATGACTAATTTAGCCTCTCCACTTGGTTGTTGAAAAGGAATCATAAATGTGCCAAGTCCAAAGGGAACTCTTGATTTTTCTCTTAAGGTCTACTCTTCATATAATCTTCCTTATGTCAATCTTCCTACACCTTAAGGTAAAAGGTCTTGGTTCCACTGTTTGTCTCACACCCTATATAYTTAACTTGTCAGTAAATCCTGTTGGCTCTTTTAAGATAGATGGATAATCTGACCACTTCTATCAGCTATGCTAGCTCATGTTCCCAAAATGTGAACTTATCACAAGGTTCTAATTGGTCTCCCTAATTTTTTCTTGTCCTCAAACATCTTCATTGTGTTCTCAACATAACAGATGGGGTGACCGTTAATATCATGCCATTTTCTCAAGCCCCTCCAATGATTTTTCACTCTGCTCCAGTCCATCAAGCTCCTTGTTGTCCACATAATAAAAACTCTCCCCTCAGTCTCTGCATTTGCTATGGGCTCTGCCAGAAATATTCTCCTTGAATATCTGCATGGCTTGCTTTCTCATTTCCTTCAAGTATTTGCTCATAATCACCCTCTTTAGATATTTAGATAATTTCCCCAATATACACCATTGCTCCCAGACCACAACTTATTAGCATGAAACAGTCTATACATTTTAGTATTGTCTATCTCTACCAAAATGCCACTCCTTGAGGGCAAAGATTTTGTTTTGTTTACTCTGTTCCTCATCACTCAGAATGATACTTGGCATATGAAAGGTATTCCTTATAATTGCTAAATAAGTAAATTTGCTTCAATTATTACATTATCTCAAAAAAGTATAATAAATTTTGACAAAAAAATATTGAAATTTTAGGACTAAGAACAGTGTGAAGCAAATAGCCCTCAATAAAGCTAAGTGCMTTTGTAAGAGTAAAAGAAATTGAAGTTAAAGTGTAAAAGACCGGGCATTGTAAAGTTTCTAAGCTGCAAGGCCTGAGTTAAAAAGTAAAGGACCAGGTATTGTTAAATTCCTCTGCTACCCCCAAAACCTGAAATTCCTGTAGCTGTTAGGACAATACCCAAACTGCCCAGTAAATATTCCTCCTGATCCTCTGGTTGTTTAATAACCTAGGACCCTGTGTAGCCTGGCACGTAGGCATCCAGGGCCCAAAACCAATCAGTTTGAATGTGTACCCCGCTTAGGAGTGACCAATCACCCCCGCCCAACCTGTTCCCGCCAATGAATGTACTAATCATGTCTAAGAGTTGCTGTTCAATTTTCCCACGCCTCATGCTGATTTGTTCTGATGTATGCAAAGCCCCTGCCCTCCCCAAAAAGTGTACTTAAGCACTGCTCAACCCCTGCCTGGGGCTCTGGGCTGCTCTCTCCTCTTGAGTGGGCATGGAGCCCCAGCATGCTGGATCAATAAATCCCCTTCTGCCAATTGCATGAGTGGTCTCTTGGTGGTCTCTTCCTCTGACGCTTCGCCGGTCCCTTACACCTTTCCCCAAGTTTTTCTCCCTTTCTTACATTTTGATATCCTCCAGTAATTCTGACCATAAATCACTCTTATAATGTTAAACAACAGAACTGTTCTAAGAATTTCTTTGCAAATACATTTGTATTGTTTTCTAAAATTACTAATTTATTGTATTATTTAAAAGTTTTATTTTACTTGACAAATAGAAATTTTATTTACTTGCATGTAAAACATATTTTGAAATATGTATACATTATGAATTAGCCAAATTGAGCTACATGTATTATCTCACATTTTTATGGTGAGAACACTAAATAACTTTTATTAACTATAGTCACCATTTTATACAATAAATTTATGGTGCTGAATTTTTCTTGAATTTATTCATTTAAAATTTTGTATCCTTTGACCAATGTCTTTTCAAAAGCCTCTCAATAATCAATGTTCTACTCTTCTGTAAATTCAGTTTTTTTTTTCCACCACAAATAATCTGAGGTCTTGTGATGTCTTCCTGTGCCCAGCTTATTTCTCTTAGCATAATGCCCTCCATATATGTTGTTGCAACTGACAGGATTCTATTATTTGAAAGTCCCTATGGAAAATCATGTTGAAATTTAATTCCCATTGTGAGATAATAAGAGATGGAGCTTTAAGGGATGATTAAGTCTGTTAAAAAAAAAAAAAAGCTAAAACTGAAGAACCCCTATTAATACTAATTTCTTAATCATTTCCTAATCCCTAGAACTATAGAAATATTTACTACTGTTAAAAAGAATGATTGGGCTTTATTTCCCTGGTTTCTGTCAATATATTTTTTTGTCTTCCCCTCAATTCCATAAAATAAATTCAATGTTTAATGGATGACAGAAGAATCCTAAGGAAATATGGTAAGGCTCAAATATTTCAAAATATACTTAATTTAAGAACACTGGCTTCTGAAAGGATTGTGTTCTTCCACTGGGTTTGCTCTTTTTTCTGACTACAATTCATTTACAAAACAAACAAACAAACAAATAAAAAAACCCCAAAACTAGAAGAACTAAAATCATAAAACTCCTAAAACAAGCTTCTGGATACTGACCTTCCTTGGCAATGATTTTTTTCTTCTTCTAATATCACACCAAAAGCCCAGCAACAAAGAGAAAAATAAACGAGAATTCTGTCTTTTTAAAATATATATATAATGAAAGGTCATATGATATTATATAGATATGCTTTGTAGTGAACTATAGTAGCAATAATTTCTATCCATGATAAAGAGTTCGTTGCAGCATTTGTTTTCCTGTTCTTTTTCTCTCTCTCTGTTTTTAAGGGTTAGAATTAACAAAGGCAAGGAACAGAAAAGTCAACATAAAGATTTAGAAGGAGAATTTATGGTGTTGGGACCTTTTACCTCCCTCGGGACTGCGGCAATTATTGGGTGTTGGCTGGGGCGGCCTCATGGGTTAGCATTTCCGTATATGTGACCTGGCTGGATTGGGGTTTGCGGGCTTTTAGCCCGCGCACGGGCTTTTGACTTTAGCACCGCCTAATGGTTTAATCTGAAATCTGCCTAGGCCCCTTAGTGATAGTGACATAACTGCTCCTTATTGGTTCTTGCTACTGTCTCTTCTTACCCCCTCCTAGCACTATATAACCTTGTCCCTTACACAATAAAGTTGAGATTATTGCACCTTCAYGGTTGACTCATCTCCCGACTCGGTGTGATTGTGGGCCAGGTTGGATGTCRGGCCAGGTAGAGACACTTAACCCTCTTGCTCAACCCCGGAGACACTACCTGGTCTAGTGTGCTTCACTACTCCTGTCAGAGGGTGGTTCCCACAGTTGGTGCCTCGGAGTCGATAGGCTGGTCTCCCACATACCCTTGTCGCAGGGGGYGACATATGGGACCTAGATTTGAGATTCATTGGATGTGATTCTAAAATCTTTTATTAAGCACTGTCAAAATTCTAAGTTTCATAGGTATGGGTATCATATATAGATCCTTCTATATGTGCTGCCATAGATGTGAAATTCTTGACCTTAATATCACCTTTGAAAATGTTAAATAGAGAATTCAATTTTCTGGATTGGTGCATTATATTACTAAAGAACTATTTGATTTTCAGCACAGTGCAGAAGTTCTTTAAAAAACTTATGACTTTTTCCTTAATTCCATTTTGTTTTAAATCACATTTTAAATGTAGTTTTCTCAGTTAGTTAAAGTTGTCCAACTGAAAAAAAAATAAACAAGCAAAACCACAAACTAAAATGCTTCTGCATAATAAGGGAAACAATGAAGAAAATGAAAAGGCAGCCTAAGATAGGGAAAAATTATTTGCAAACTATATATCTAATATGGGCAAATATTCAAGACAAACAAAGAACTCACACAACTCAATAGTCAAAAAAAAAAAAAAAAAAACAACAAAAACCCAAAAAACAACAAATACAAAAAACAAACAACATGCAAGAAAGGCACAGTGGCACACACCTGTAATCCCAGTGGCTCTGGAGGCTGAGGCAAGAGGATCACAAGTTCCAGGTCAGCCTCAGCAACTTAGGAAGGCCCTAAGCAACTTGGTAAGACTCTGTCTCAAAATAAAATACTAAATAGGGCTGGGGATGTGGCTTAATGGATAAATGCCCCTGGGTTCAATCCCACATCTAAAAATAAAATTTTTATTTCCTTATTTACAAATGATATAGGAGCTATGTGACCCTGTTACCCCTGCTACTTGGGAGGCTGAGGCAGGAAGAGAGCAAACTCAAGGCTAGACTGGGCAATTGAACAAGACCCTGTCTCAAAATAAAATTTTAAAAAGTGGAAAAAGTGGATGTAGCTCAGTGGTAGGGTGCTTGCCTAGCATGCAAAGGCCCTAGGTTCAATCCCCAGTATTGTGAAAAAAAAAAAAAGAGAGAGAGAAAGAGGAAATTCCTGTCATTTGATTTCAAAAAATAGGTGGCAAAAAACTGATTTGGATGTCATATTATTTCAGACTATAAATCTCTATTGAAACTAGTGACCTGAGAGGCCATCACACTGTTTCTACAACCATGGCCAGTCAGTCATAGGGGATTCAATAGTTGAATGTATGCTGAGTAGCCAATGGCCAAGGTGTTTGAGGCCTGCAAGTAAAAGAACCACAGCTCTTTGACCCTTGTTTGCAACATCAGGCCAGTAGTCCATAAAAATTAGCACTATCTTGCGAGTTCTGTATCCTTCAGACTCTATCTGCTTTGCTGAAACTTTCCCATAATTGAACTTTTTTTAAAAAAATTGGGGGCGGGGTGGTATCTCTGATAAATCAGGGATTGAACTCAGAGGCACTTGACCACTGAGCCCCATCCCCAGCCCTATTTTGTATTTTATTTATAGACAGGGTCTCACTGAGTTGCTTAGCACCTTGCTTTTGCTGAGGCTGGCTTTGAACTCTCAATCCTCCTGCCTCAGCTTCCCAAACTTTTAAGATTACAGGCATGCACCACTGTAACCTTTTAATGATGAAAATTATCAAATAAACTTTCTGAGCTAGCTCTGAGTCAGTCACCAGTCTGTCACCACTCACTTGGCTGTGAGACTTGGCTACCACTTGGCTACCAATCTGGCCCCAGCTTTTTCTCCCTATGTGTGTCTGTTTGTCTTTTCTTTATCTCCTATCGCTCCTACAGTATTTCCCTTAATTAACAGCCAGGACCCAGAGTAGAGACGGGGCCCTGGTGGTCTGACACTGTAGTTTGATGCTTAGTAACACCTCTTAACTGGGTGATATTAGTCATATGTAACTCAATTCCTTGGTTTCATCATTTGTATAATGGGAATGGATAGGTGTATCTATCACATAAGAATGATGTAAAAGCTTAAATATTGCATAAAAATGCTTAGAATTAGATCCTGGATTGCTACAGATGATCAGTGAATGTTTACTATCATTATTTATTAACATTATTATTTGTATTAAGTTTAATTGCTATGTAAACAGTGAAAAGTTGGGAAAAAATAGGAGTGATCTAGTAGATTAAAATTGAAGTCATACCTAAATTRTGCCAGTTAAAAATATTTTTTAAAACCAAGATATTTTGGTCACTTAAAATTAGAAATAGGTAAATCACATTGAATTTCAGCCTCCTGAGTAGCTGGGACTGCAAGTGCACAATATCACACAAGGCTCATTTATGAATTTCAAGCAGTCCAATGACTCTTGTTTACTACACACTTTTACAAACGTCAAATACCATACTTTATCTTACCAATCGCTTGCTATAAAGTAATGCTGTACTGCTGCCACTGGAAACTGCCCATTTAGAAAAATGCATGACATGTTCCAACTGCTTAGAAAGTCCAGCCACTTCCTGTTGTTGTTGCATAAGTTTCATTCTATGATCCTTTGCAAGGCTCTGAAAAGAAGGAAATAATTTCAAATTATTTTCTGCACTTAACATTTATTTCAAAGGACATTTTTAGATAAGCAAATGAAAATAACTGCCCTCTAAATATACCAACTGATAGCAGTTGAAAATACTCTTTAGTATTTTTTTCCTTAGTACAAAAGATCACTCTCACTGGAACAAACAAACAAACAAAAACCATATCTCATAAATTGCCTCCAGCCCTAATCCCCTGGGTTTGGCTTTACATATTCTGGGCTTTAGATCTCTGTTAATGCATCCTGCCAAATACACAAAAGGACGACAAAAGCATGCATTAGCTATAATATTCACAATGTTAAGTTCAAAATTTGCAAATGAAATAGATGTACTATTAAGCAATTTAATGATCCAATACATAYAGTGGATAATTGTGTYAATGCACTTTTATAAAGCTACATAAAAGCAGAATATAGAATGATTTTATCAATGATATGATCTTACCTTTTAGGTATTCTAGTCCCACCTGAAACTAGTTTGTGCTCAGAATAATGAAGTGTGGTAAATAACACTTCTCCTTTGGATGTAGTATTAATATTTAGAAAGGCATTGTTATGGTTTACATATGAGGTGTCCCCTAAAAGCTTGTGTGAGTAAGGCAACAAAATTTAGAGATGAATCATGTTATGAGCATCTTGATATAATCAATTAATCCCTGACAGGGATTAAATGGGTGGTAACTATAGACAGGTAGGGTGGGGCTGGAGGAAGTAAGTCATTGGGGGCATGCCTTGGGGGTTTATATTTTGTCCATGGTGAGGAGAGTCTCTTTCCGCATTTTCTGGTGTGATGTCCTGAGCTGCTTYCCTCTGTCACACCCTTCCASCATGCTGCTCTTCCTTGCCTGGAGCCCTGGGGAAGAGAGTCAGCTATCTATAGACTGAGATCTCTGAAATCATGAGACCCCAAATAAACTTTTTCTCCTCTAATTGTTCTTATCAGGTCTTTTGGTCATAGCATCAAAAAAGCTGATTAAAACAGGCATGATATCATTTCTGTCTACTGAGAATTACCATGGGATCGAAAACATACAGTGGATAATTGTGTTAATGCACTTTTATAAAGCTACATAAAAGCAGAATACAGAGTTTCTGTAAGGAAAATACATACTGCCTTTAGAAAACAGGGTATTCTAAAGTGGAGAGCACTAAACTTGGATTATTTTAAAGGTCCATCCAAAAACTGAAAGGGTAAAGTTTCTAAGCTGCAAATCCTGAGTTAAAATGTAAAGGACCAGGCATTGTAAACCTGCTTCTAAACTGCAAAGCCTGGGTTAGATTCCTGAGGCAGTTAAGACAATGCCCTGCTGGCCATTTAGTTGATTTATAGCCTAGGACCCTGTGTAGCTTGTCACATAAGCATTCAAGACCCTGTGTAGCTTGTCACGTAAGCATTCAAGACCCTGTGCAGCTTGTCACGTAGGCATTCAGGGCCCGAACCAATCAGTTTAAATGTAACCCCCTCCTTAGGAATGACCTATCACTCTAGCCAGCCCTGTTCCCGCCAATGAATGTACTAATCAAGTCTAAGAATTATTGTTTGATTTTCCTGCGGTGTATGGTGATTTGTTAAAGGAGACTGTGGTGTGTGTAAAGTCCCCGCCCTCCCCAAAAAGTGTACTTAAGCATTGTTCAACCCCTGCTCTGGGCTGCTCTCCCTTCTTGAGTGGGCACGGAGCCCCAGCATGCTGGATCAATAAATCCCCTTCTGCTAATTGCATGAGTGGTCTCTTGGTGGTCTCTTTCTCCGACGTTTTGCCGGTYCCTTACAAAACCTCATTCTCATCCTAGCAAAGAAAGGGGAATAAACAGGGCTTCCTACTAACTCAAATTAGAAAAGTTTAAAAGTAAAACTGCTATATTTCAACATGTACCTATGTTCTCAATAAAAACTGCATTTTTTAGTTCTAAATTTGRAAAACACACATGCTAATTAAATTGATTTAGCTATTGAAGGACTGTTAACAGGTAATGGCTTTGCCATATCTAATTTAAGCTTAAAGAGAAGATGACTTACCTTTTAGACTATTTCTGACCTCTGTGAGACCTAAGTGTTTCTTTGGAAACATTCTAGTAGAAACAGAAATTTGTTGACTTTTGAGGAGGTTACAAATTAAGAAGAAGCCCTAGTGTCTTGGTCTTCTATGGTAATAACTGTTTGGACTTTAGCAAATAAAATTGGTTAAATTTATTTGYCTTTACGGAGAACTCTGAACCAGGAAAATTGTTATGAGGAATAGAGGCATTTTTAAAAGGTGTCGTGAAAATTACAAGTAAAGACTGATTAAAAATAATATTGATGACCAGATTAATTTTTATAGATTCAAGGGTCTGGTTATTTTAAAGTTCTTCAAATGATTCTAATGTACAATAAAGCTTGGAAACAGCAGTATGTGCATTACTAATACCTGGGGAAGCAAATCAAAGTGATGTTTATTAAGTAGAGCTTTGAATGCTTCCAATTTTGATTAAATGTGGGTTTTTAAAAATTTATATACAAATTGCAAAGACTTAAAAACATAGTTACTACAAAGGGGGTCTGATTCCTTCTGCTCAAAACATTTCCTAACCAAATAACTTATTCCTAAAAAACAGAGAATTATTTTAGTCTTTGTTTCATGGGACTGGTTGATAAAACATGGAAATGACTAGACTTTCAAGCAAGAACTTTCTGACAGAGAACTTAAACTTGGTCAACTATGAAATAAAGAGGTTGAACTTATTATTTCTAGAAATCTTAATTTTCTTTAACTCTGCTAATGTTAGGATTCTTTAATTTTCATTCTAAATTGCTTCTTGACCGTGGATTCTTTCTGCATCAATATATTAAAGAATGCCTCAAAATGATGCAATTAATATTATACCTTAAAATACAATGTACAAGTTGTTATATTATTTGATGTCAAGCACTGACTTTGGATATTGACCTTCATGAGTTCAAAAAAAGCTGATGAAGATAGCAATATTTTTCTTAACTGCAGTTAGAAACAACTATCCTAGTTGCCTTGAACATCACTTCCTAGGTGATGCTTTCATATTAATACTATAAAATGTTGAGGGTAGGAGCCACAATAATTTACTTAATTTCTCACAGGGTTAAATACGAACGGTTATGCACTGTTTAAAAATAGGATACACCATATGAAACATCATTAAGCAATTTCCTCATTGGGCGAACATCTCAGGGTACACTTACAGAAATAATCTTATGGGACCACTGTTATGTATGTAGTCTGTTTGTTATAATTTGGACATGGAATGTTCCCCAAAAGTCCATAGCTGGTGGCACTATAGGGTGGTGGGGTCTAGTTGGAGGAAGGGCACTAGGGATATACCTTTGAAGGATATATTGGGACCCAGGCCTCTTCCTCTGTTGTTGCTTCCTGGCAGCCATGAGGTGAGCAGCACTCCTTTACATCATGCTTTGCCATGATGTTCTAACTCACCGTGGGCCCATATGATGGGGCCAAGAAACCAATGGACTGAAACTTCTTCAACAATGAGCCCAAACAAACCTTTCCTCCTTTAACTTAATTTTCTCAGGTATTCTATCACAGTGATGGAAAGCTGACTAACTCATCATTGTTGACAGAAGCATCACCATGTAGGGCATGAGTATATATAACTCCCAGTGTTATCTTCCTAGAAAAMTTTGTTGAACTCTGCCACTTTGGTGATACAAAGTTATCACTTCAGCGAATTTGTAAAATGGCCCATCTCTTCAACATTCCTCCTATGAGCAAGGCTTACATTTATGCTATGAAGCAAACAATGAGGAGTAAAACATTCCCAGTGTATTATAAAACTATAAATAGACAATACAGAATCTGTCAAAGGAAAACTAGGATTGGGGAAGAGATGTTATCAAATTGTAAATGGAAACGATTACAAAAGGACTATGATTTCAAATTCACATACATTAGAAAATTTTGTTGAATCACAACATACTGTCCCCTCTAGTAACTTACCTCTAGCTGATGCAGCAGAGCTTTTCCTTTTTTATTTATTTCTACCATCAATGTAAAGATAGCAACTTTAATATCCTGTTCCACCTGCTTTTGATTTTGATTTACTTCAATTATTCTGAAAATTAAATGAAGGAAAAAAATCTAAAACTTAAGGCAGATTTTTTTTACAATATTTAAAATTTATATTTTAATATCTAAATTAAACCAAAATGTTTTCAGCCCTTTAAAGATCCATTTCTGGGTCCTTCCATTTATTTATTTTTACTCATGTATTTATTTTTTGGTACTAGGGTTCGAACCCAGGGTGCTTTACCACTGAACTACATTCCCAACCTTTTTTATTTTTGAATCTTAGGCAGGGTCTCGGCTAAGTTGCTGGGGCTCTCACTAAGGTGCCAAGGCTGGTCTCAAACTTGCTAAACTTCCTGCCTCGGCCTCTCAAGTCTCTGGATCATGGGCAGGTGCCACCATGCCCAGCTGAGTCCTTCCATTTAAAATCAACTGTCCTGAAGATGACAATGAAATTAAATTCTGAAAGATAACAAGTCATTCAGTTTGATCTTAAAAGCAAAATACTCAAAATTAGAAGAGAATGAGCACATTTTAGGAGAATGTTATTTGGAAAGATTATGATATCCAGGAAAATCAATACTCTAACTACCTAAAAGGATGGGGTAGGGGGGATTGGACTAAAACTAGGATTTATAAACATGATAAAGAAACTATGACTGAACTAGTTTTGTCATGCTCACTGCAACTAAGAGGTAGAAAAGTATAAATACAATACTCTGACCTTAGACTTCTGAACTGCTGAAGTATTCATTATATCTGAATGAAAGCAAAAAAAAAAAAAAAAATCTTCGCTACTTCTTACAAAACATATTTATCTTGAAAACTAAACAGTCAAATAACTATGTTATGTTTCATCAATCAAATACTTTTCTTCCTTCAATTTGAAAGAGTGGGAATGTGATCTCATGGAGATGAAATAGATAGAAAGAAAATATACAGCATCACACCAGAATATTTTACAGAAGTAGAAAAGAACAGTAAGTCAAATATCAAACTTTATGAAATTAAATAAAAAGCTTCATTTCTCCTGTTTATCCCATACTATACTTCTCATTTTAAAACCAAAATGGTGGAGATATTWTTCTCTGTTGAACATTCTTCAAGATAAATTGTTTAATATCAACTTAGCTATAGGATTAAGAGACCTATATAAGCCTATGAAGCAACCAATCTCAAAAARCAAAAACAAAAACAAAAAAACAACTCATTTAAATCTTCCTGATGGTAGAATGTATAAATAAGGGGAAAACAGACATGTTTACAAACACATAAAAATGAGTTAATAGCAAAATTAGTGTGGTAATTTAATCCTTCTAAAATCAGATAGGCTATAAAGAAATGCAAGTAATCAGTACATTAATAATGAAGATTCTTTAAATTTTTACACTTCAGAGGCTAACATCTTGACATATAAGAATGCTATTATTTTGTTAAAAAACAGAATTGTATAAATCACTAAAAAAGAAAACAAGTAAAAACATATTTGAAGAACTCACACTACCTGATTTCATGACATTATAAAAATGAAAGTTGAGTATTGGCAAAAAAGAAAAAAAGAGAACACAATCAATGGAACAGAGCACAGTTAAGAAATAACCCCACACTTACATGGTTAATTGATTTTCCACAAAGGTGCCAAGGCAATTCAATAGAGATAGGGTAGTCTTTTCAACAAATGATGTTGGAAGAATGGACCACCACATGTTTAAAAAAAAAGAAAGGTATCCTGACCCATAGCTCATAACATAGACACAGTGGAAGAGAGAGAAAAAAGTCAAAAGGGTAAATCGCAGTAAGGGTAGATCTTTTACTAAATTATTTTATATGACTACTTTTTGCCACTAGATGGTAGAAATGTCTACAATTACCTTCCCTGGTTCGTTTAGTAAATGTTCATTATACATTTTCAGTTACTCAGAATCAAAAATTTAAAAACCTACCAATATTCTATTTGGTAAAATATATTATCCTGATTAGAACAGTATATTCTAAAGCACTTTTACAAAAAGAACTACTCTTTGGTTAAAGAGTTGTTACATGAAAAGAGAAAGGTTAAAGAAAAAAGAGCTGATAAAGAGGAGTAAGAAAAACTAAAAAAAAGACTCACAATATAAAACAATGTATATAATATATAATAATTATGTAATAATAATACTGGAACATCAAGAAAAGTCATATTTAAAAATCTCTGTTAAAGAAATCTGATAATATAATAAATTACCTAAAAAATTTTTCCAAATGCTCCTCCACCCTTAACTATGTTCCAAAATGATAAGAATGACAGAAAATTATGATGAGTCTTGAGCATGATGAACCCCAAAGGCTGACACAATTTTCCCAGTGAACAATATTCAAAGCCCCTGCCAGGCCTCTTTTATTCGGGTTCTTTCCATTTGGCATTTCTTGACCTATTTAGGCAGTGGCATGCTACTTTTGTATGTTAAACAACAAAAGAAAGAGGACATGGGATTTCACAAGTGTGTTAAAATGTTAATTAAATGTCATTACATGCCCTACATGGGATTAAAAAAAAAAAGTGGTGAGACAACCCCCTTTCTTACAAAGAGTTAGTTGCTAAATTCTAAGATGTAAGCCTTTGGACATTTGATTTCCTTCTTTGGAGGATTAAAGGCATAACAAGTAATACCTAGAAACTGTTTGCATACTGTATTAGACAAGGAATAAAAGGTATGTTTAACAATCCCTGTCTCAGTGTCCTAAAATTTCTACCCCTTTGCAATTAAAGATCATAGCCTTAGGGGAGGGCATCCCAAATTTTAGCAAACCTTAAAACAGCAATTGAGTATATAATCAACTATTTAAATATTTTATAATGCTGGAAAAAATAGTTGATTTTGTTTTTAAATCTTGGCATGTCTTTAAATTGGAAAATACCAAATAATTATAAATTATTAATACCTACCAGATATATAAGTTATTACTACTTATTTTATTAACACATTAGTTTAAAAAAATTCATAGCTGAAAAAAATGCTTTCTAACCCAAAGTTTCCAGAAAAAAATTGAGTCATCTGATAGCTTACTAATTGCTTCACAATGAGTTAAGAAAAATGTTCTCTTAAATGTGAATACACTTAACATATAAAAATGATTTAGTATAATACCATAAGTGCAAATTTACCTGTTTTGGATCTGATTTCCTGTGTATTTAATGTATTTTGTTTTTTCCATCAGTTTGGTGATTAGTGTATCTATGATCACTTTCTGATTTTGAAAAGCTTCTTCTATAAATTGATATCTGAAGAAATAAGTAAATAGGCAAATTATTTCAAACAAATATATGTATAAAATGAGGGGAGGTCCAAATGTAAAAAAAAATGAGTAATAAAAAATTAAGATTATAAAGAATATAAATARTAATCTTTAAAAAGTACCAAATACAACCCTGTAAGGCAGGTTTTCCCCTTTCTCTCATATTATTCCTTAAGAAGGATATTGATACATAATGTTTATGGACATTCTTAAAATTATTTCTTAAGTTTAAGAAAGATACACATCCATCACTAATAGTTTTAAAGGCTTACAGAGCACATTGGGCAGATCTGGCAAAAAATAAGATTTATTAACTATTAACTATTTCATCATTTAACAGTTCTGAAAGTTTCTTTCTAATGATGGATTTAGCTATAAAACTTAAGGCTTGGTTGATACGTACTATTTTTTACTATAATTTAGATAAAAATATTTTCTAATATCTGTTAGGATTTCTTTGGTGATTTAGTTAATTATTAATGATTTATTCTGAAGTAATTTCAAAATGAAATATGTAAGAGTTCAAAGATCTATTTTTCAAATTTTGCCCTTTAGCCACATAATTCAGTGTGCGTTTCCTAAAAAYAAGAATGTTCCCTTATCTAATAATATTAGTTATTAAATTCAAGAAAACTGATGTTCGCAAGTCATGTATCCTTTTAGACTATATCCCATATATGTCATTTGTCTCAGTATCTTCTAGACCTTTTTCTTTCTAGGATACTCCATGATCATTTATCAGAACATTTAATTTTCAAATTCCATTTCTTCTCTTCCAAAAGTACAGTATTTTTCTCTTCTACTGTTGTTTTCTAGATTAATTCTATTGGGTTATACAARTTATTTTGCAGGATTTCAATCCTTTGAAATTTAATACTTTGCTTAGAAATATGGTCAATTAAAATTTTTCTTTGTATGTTTGAAAAGAATGTGTATTACTCAGTATAGTTTTCATAATCTCCATAACTTCATTTGCTAATTCTGTTATTTTAATCTTACTGACATGTTCTTTATTGATTTTTAGTCGTATTTTGTCAATTATGTATTTAATATACTTTGGAACATATATTAAAATTTTCCACTCTATGTACTTACCAGTTTAAAGTTCTGTCATTTTAAGTTTATGATGCACATAAATTTAGAGCTGTTGTATCTTTTAAATTAAGCCTTTTATCTTCATAAAGCTTCCCTTTTAATCTAAAATAATATATTTTGTCTGCTACATCAGCTTGCCTTTGGTTAGTATCTGTATGACATATCTTTTCCTATTAATCTTTTTATTTGCTCAGGATTTAGATATTTCTCATAAAAAGCACATAGCAGAAGCATCTGAGGATGTAGCTCCTTAAGGCCCTGAGTTTGACCCCCAGTGCCATAAAAAAAAAAATAGCGGATTTTTCTACTTTGTTTCTTATCTAGACTGAAATTGTTTGATAATTTGGAACATTTTATGCATTAAGATTTGATATAAATATGAATGTATCTGCAGATGTACCAATTACCAAGACCTTATTTGAACCCACTTAATCTTTGTTGCTTTGTCTTACTTTGGTAGCCTAGTTTAGACTGATGGATTACTCTATAACCTTGGACCCCTTCATATGTTTTTTTACTATTCTTCTAGTGACTATCCTAGACATTACAAAATGTATATCTAAACTTACCATCATCTAATATTAATCCGTACTTTTTACATTTTTCCTAGACTCCATGTCTCCTAACAYGTCTACATGATACACACATATACCATAAACTAAGACATTGTTTCCTAGGTCAATATTCATTTAGCTTTACTCATATCTATTACTTTTTTCTTTGTGCATCTCCTACTGTTATTTATTTACCTAAAGGGGTACTTTAGTGAGGGTTTACTAGAGATAGATTCTCTAAGTGTATTTAGTATGAAAATATGAAAATCTCTCATTCATTTTTAAAAAAATATGCACACTGGGGATAGAACTTGAGATTTGCAGTAATTCTTTCTATAGTTTATAAATGTTAGTTTCTTTCTTTCTTTTTTAATATTTATTTAGTTGTAGATGAACACATAGTAATCTTTATTTATTTTTTATGTGGTGCTGAAGATCGAATCCAGTGCCTCACACATGCAAGGCAAGCACTTTACCACTGAGCTACAGTCCCAGCCCAAAAGTATTACTTTCTTAATAATCCTGCTGGGTATTGTAAGACTTCTTGAATATGAACTAGATGTCTTTCATGAGTACTTGCAAGTTCTCAGCCATTTCATTATTTTCTCAAGTACTGCTTCCTTCCCATTCTTTTCTTTCCTACTTGGATTGCAATTACATCCATATTGAAAACTTTCTTCTATGTTTCATTCTTTTGTTTACCATGCTTCATTCTAGATATTTTCTTAATTTTTAGTTCAAAAATTCTCATTTCCTGCTATGTCAAATCTGCTGTTCAAACTTCTATTGAATTAATTTCAGTCGCTGTAATTTTCTGTTCTATACTTTCCATTTTGCTTTCTTTTTATAGTTTTTAATTTTAATTTTTATTCTAATTTGTTATATATGACAGCAGAATGCATTACAATCCGTATTACACATATAAAGCATAATTTTTCATATCTCTGGCTGTATACAAAGTATATTCACACCACTCGTGTCTTCATACATGTATTTAGGGTAATGATGTCCATCTCATTCCACCATCTTTTATACACCCCTGAAATACTACACCCAAACTTTCTATTTTGTCTTTTACCATGTTGAACATATGATGCAGAACTGTGGGTCTTCTTATTCTTTGTTATATCTAGGTTTCATTTACAATGTCTAATCAAACATACCTGGCTATTTCTAACTATATACAGAATACACTACCCAAATAAGTTTGAAGCCTAGAATATTTTCCTTTTCTAGGGAGGATTCACATTTGATTCTGACAGGTGCTTTGGGACATCACAATAAGATTTCATATTAATTTAATGTGAGGTGCTGCTCACTAGCTAATTGATCATTACTATAAGGATCCCAACTCAAGGCAAGAGGAAGCTTTTACTCCTTATGAACCTGAACTCAAATCCCTCACTTCTCAGCCCTGAGAGTATATTAAAATTATCTCAACCTCTAGGCAAATATCTCAAGAGGTAAAAAAAAGTCTCTGCAATCCTCTGCCCCTATTTTCAACCAAATCCTGATACAATAATTCTTTACTACTTGATTATATCTGAAATTTCTTATAGATAATTTCTGGATTTTACCCAGCTTTTCTCCTGATCTTCATTGGTATGCTTGCTCCAAATTATCCAGACTTCCATTATGGGAAATTTGGACCATTATAGGCAACAATACATGTGTCAACTAATCTGAGTGTTACTGTCCAAATCAGTGGTTGCTAACTCACGTGCCTATGGAGGTTAGATGTAAAAGTAAGCTTTGGTAAGATCTACAATGAACCAGAAATGGCATGTCTTATTCGGAAGAGCACTAAAGTTAATTCCAGCTAAATGCTGGTGTGAAAGTATATGAACTTAGGGCTACAACAGTTATTTCTTAAATGAAACCAGAAATCTAGATTTATTTTTTAAATAGAAAATATCCTAATTTTATAACACCTATAACTAATTTCACATGTTCTAAAACAGAGTCTGAACTAGAGTTTCTCACTCAGGGTGATTGTGTTACATAGGATATTTGGTAATATCTAGAGATATTTTTAAATTGTCATGACTAGGGAAGGATGTGGGGTGCAGTGGCAACTAACTGTTAGAGGTCAAGGATGTTTGCTGCTAAACCCCACACAATGTATGACATTCCCCAAAACAAAGAATTATCTAGCTCAAAATGCCAATAATGCCAAAGTGGATAAGCTATGGTACAGGCCAGCATACCACTTTGCAGACTGCCATTTAGCTGAGGTGACAGCAGTTCTCAAGTCCACATAGAACTTTATTATAAATCTGTCCATAATGAATAGTGCTAGTACCTATGCTCCTTGTGCTCTAGCAGTTGACAGTCCCGACATGTCAGTTTGTCACACGTCTCACAATAAAGCTTCAATTGCTCCTTTTTATGAAAAGGACAAAACACTGGTCGTTGGCTGGTCACACCCACTGCCTCTGCAGAAATCATGGAAAGCAAAGAGGAAAAAAATTAACATAATTTTTTTCATACTTCATACTTACTAGAAGAGAACCACAAATAATTTTTATCTATACTGTAACTACTACTAGGTATTACAGGTATATAATATTAAATATTTTCAGTATTTCTAAAAAAATATAAATGAGCTTTTCATTTTCTATAATAGAAGTTCACATTAATTCAGTAGTAAATGAAACAGCGAAGTTGTGTAATTAAAAAGATGTTTTTTCTATGCCAAATTTGAAAGGACATTTTTAAAAATGTGATTCAAAAAATCTAATAAAAGTATATAAAAGGAATAGTGAATAAGAAACCTCCCTATTTTGCAAAAATCCTAACAAAGGATACCCATTTAGACACAAATAATCTTAAGTGTTTTTACTATTACACTATAGTTACTCCAGTGAATTTTTATTAGTTTTTTAATGTGGGGATAAAACTGAGAAATTCTTATGTAATAATTTTAAGTGGAAAAATCAAGAATACAAATGACTATTCTGGTTGATCAAAAAGTAATACCAGTTATCTCACCAATAATCAAAGGTAAAACTCCAAACATTTCACAAATAATCCCACTTTCAGAGACAACTATTCTTAATAACCTAGAATGTATTACTCTGGTTGTTTTGGGGTATATAGAACCGTATGTAATATAGTACAGTGTTATAGCTTAGATATTAGGTACCCCCCCAAAAAAAAGCTTATGTGTGAGATGATGCAACAAAGTTTGTAGGTAAAATGAGATTAATGTACTTTATCAGTGCATTAATCCCCTAATAGGGACTAACTGAATAGTAACTATAGGCAAGTAGGGTATGGCTAGAGGAGATGGGTCATTGGGGGCATGCCTTTGGGGGATTTAGTTTATGTAAGTGTGGTGACTCTTTGCTTCCTAGTGTGATGTTCGGAGCTGTTTTCTGTCGCACACATCCACCTTGATATTTTGCCTTACCTCAGGCCCTGAGGAATGGAGTTGGCTGCCTATGGAATGAGCCCTCTGCAACCATAAGCCCCCAAATAAATTCTTCTTCCTCTAAAATTGTTTTTGTTGCACCTTTTGGTCACAGCAGCTAAAAAGCTGACTAAAACATGCAGTGTTTTATTTTATAAAATAAAAAAATGTGCTGGGCATGGTGGTACACATCTGTAATCCCAGCTCCCTGGGAAGCTACGGCAGGAGGATTGCAAACCCAGCATAGTGAGATCCAGTCTCAAAATAAAAGTAAAAAGGACTGGAGATGTAGCTCATTGTTAGAGCAGCCCTGAATTCAATCCCCAGTACCTCCCCCTCAAAATAGGGCAGGGGACAGAGGATATAAAATTTAGTGACATGACACACATTGTTATGTAAGATATTCCTTTTCTCCCTTAACTCTTAGATACCTTTCTGTGTAAGTAAATAAGAATGAGGTAGATGTATTTATTAATTGTATAACATTCCATCAAATGGGCAAACCATGTGCTAGTACAAGGTCCTCATTTCTCAATATCGTATGAAAATGCTGAAAAACACATATAGAGCAATAAATCACTTGAGTGTTTCCATAAAATAAATTCCTAGTGCTATAATTGTTAGGTCAAAGGGTAATTTTAGATAGAAATAACTAATTGACCCCCTCAAAATAGAACCAATTTATACAGAGAGGGCATTTTCTATATTTTTATGGAGTAGAGAATATTGGTAGGGGATATTCTCCATATTTTTAAATCGTGCCAATAGATGAGAAAGGGAGAGAAAGAAATTTATCCTAAAATGTTGGTATTTTTCTAACAACTGAAGTTGAACAACTTGAGTCATCAGCCATTTATATTTCTTTTAAAAATTTTTGTTGGCTGGGGGGCTGGACTTATGGCTCAGTGGTAGAGCACTTGTGAGGCATTGGGTTTGATTCTCAGCACTGCATATAAATAAATAAAATAAAGGTCCATTGATAACTAAAAAATATTTTTTAAAAAGTTGTTGGCTGGACTGGGGATATAGCTGAGACAGCACTTACCCAGAATGCAAGAGACCTGAGGTTTGACCTCAACATTAACAAAAAAAGGAAGAACTGTCTGCTAATAACTCCTACAAATTTTCTTTCCAATTTGCTTTCTTGTTGACTTGCATTCGAACTTAGTAAATTGCCTGCCTAAGATCTTCAAACATTTTTCCCAGTTTAACTTCTCTTAGGGTGTTGTTTTTCTAAACAGATGTATTTAATGGTTTTAGTTTTTAAGAAACTACCTACTACTACCTATAGTTATAAAAAATGTTTGTTTTTCCTTTCATGATATACCTTTAAGGTTTTCATTTTGTATTTAAATCTTTGATTCACTCAAAATTTATTTTGATATACTTCTAAATCCTTAAAAAATCCTTTTGTGTATACTAGCAAAAAGAATGAATTAAAAGATTCACATTTTCATGATCATAATCCAATAAGTTAAAAATAGAAATAAAACCAAAACACTAAGAAAATTATTTTGTTCTTTTAAAGAATTCTTAGATTCATAATAATCACAATGTTAAACAACTTCTTTTTGCATTAACATATATCACAGACATTTATAGACCTACCAAAGTAGTTTTGAAAACAAGCAAACACAAAAATTCATGTATCTTCAATTGCTTGGTAACTATAAATGCAGGATATTTTAAAAATGGCAGAAATCAAAGTGGTAAAGTATAACTCAAACTTTAAGCACTTGTATTTCTAAGTAAGCAAAGGAAAATGAGGGCCAAGTACATATATCAACAAAATTAGTCCTAGAATTTAGTATAAAACTAAGGTCATCTAAGAGAATTGTGATTGATGAACTAAAAAATATAAAACAGGTTAATTACATAAAATATAATCTGTCAGGTGTGGTGGGGCACACCTGTAATCCCAGCGGCTCATGAGGATGAGGCAGAAAGATCACCAGTACAAAGCCAGCCTCAGCAACTCCGTGAGATCTTGAGCAACTCAGAGAGACCCTGTCTCAAAATAAAACATAAAAAGGGCTGGGGATGTGGCTCAGTGGTTAAGTGCTCTGGGTTCAATCCCTAGTATCAACGACTATAACAACAATAGTCTTCTGAGTAGCTGAGATTACAAGCGTGTACCACCATGTGCAGCTTTCTAATTCTTAGTTACAGCTCTTCCTGCATCTCAGTGGCTAGTCCTCTACCAACTRACACTAACACTCTATCACCCTATCAAGCAACTCTATTTCTTTTCTTTATCCAGTTAAAATTTTAAAATCCTTCAAAATGTCATCACAATGCATCTCTTACACTGTCCAGCTAAACCCAAACTCTACATGTATCCAACCCTTCTCTATACCCACATCTAAACTGCTAAAATCTGTTGAGGAAATTTTATGGCCCACTATCAAATGTAACCTCGATGCCATGAAGAAAATCTTCTGTTTCCATAGATGCAGCTCTTTCAATTGGAGTCATCTAGCCTCCAACCTAAATCCCCAAATCTGAGGTTGTTAGTCCTTTCATGTACTAACAATAGCACTTGGTAGGCCAAACTACAATTGTTTATTTTGCTATAGTYTTATTATACTATAAAGTTCTAGAGTGCAGGAAATATATATCTTCTTTCATTTTCGTTCCTAGCCAAGTTCCCAGAATACAGAGTAGGCATGCAAATTTGTACTAGTTCACTTGAAGAATAAAAAGCAGCAAAACAAATTTTAAATAAAAATATAATAATGAGCCATAAAAAGGAATTAAGTTCTGAGACACACTATGAAATGTATGAACCCTTAAAATATGCTAAATGAAATAAGCCAGATACCAAAGGAAATAGATAATGGTTATGGCTACATAGCATTGTAAATGTAATTAATGCTGCTGGATTGTATATTTAAAAATATTTTAAAAGATTAATTTTATGTTACAAATATTTTACTAAAATAAAACATCTATTTCCGTGAATGTTACTTTAAAAGTTTACAACACAATAAAAACTCAAAAACCATAATTACATAAAAATCAAAGCTTCTTTTTTTTTTTAAGGGAGAATTTTAATATTTATTTAGTTAGTTAGTTTTAGGCGGACACAACATCTTTGTTTTTATGTGGTACTGAGGATCGAACCCGGGCCGCACGCATGCCAGGTGAGCGCACTACCGCTTGAGCTACAACCCCAGCCCCTCAAAGCTTCTTTGGCTATCTGTATATCATGAAAATATCACAAAGCAGGTTTACTACCAAAATATTAGAAGGAAGAGAGCTATAAATGTTTAGGTCCATTCCTTATCACTTTAGAGATGAGAAAATAAGAAAAACAACTTTTTAAATTTTTATTTGCTCCATATTCATACCAAATTAAGATAATTATACTAGCAGGAGTTTGGCAGTGTGAATGTGAGGAAGGAGGACTGTATTAACTAATTCATGCTTACCAATATTTATAAGTAGTCCAATTTCAATAACAATATTGACCTCTATATTAAAAAGTAAGAGCACATTTAATGCTTACAAATGTATTCAAATAAATCAACATAAGGAAGTACGTTGGGAGAGATAGGGAATGAATGAACAAAGGGAACTGATTTATTACCTGGAGATACTTCCTCTTTCTGTCTGACAGTGTGATCTTTTGTGAACTTCACTCTCTGATGAGCTCTAATACATGTCTTGCACAGCCATTCAACACACTCTACACAAAACCCATTAGCTTCAGCATTGTCTTCACAGCTTGTACAYACCTGATGATAAAGCAAGCATGTCACATAAATCTTTGAGAAAAATGAAAAGTTGCTCATCTACTAGTTAAACATAAATGATACACCAACCATACTAGACTCAGGGTATTTTTTCCTTTTTAAAAAGATTGTTCTTTTTTAGTTATACATGACAGTAGAATGTATTTTGACATGTCATACATATATAGAGTGTAACTTCCCATTCTTGTGGTTGTACATAATGTGGAGTTACAATGGTTGTGTATTCATATATGAACATAGGGAAGTTATGTCTTATTCGTTCTACTGTCTTTCCTGTTCCCAACAGTGTTTGAAATTTAAATTGACATTATGTAATGAATTATATGCATACGATATGGAAACATTAAACATAGGTAAGTATTGTTATATTTTCTCCTTAGTTTAATATACTAAATATTCCAGGCACTGTACTAGGTGTTGGAATAGAAGAATTAGGAAAAGTAAATACAGTCCCTGCCTACAGTCTCACAGGTTAGAATCTCATCCCCCCGCCCCCCCCCAAACACACACACCTATTAACTAAGTGCTCTTGGGCACAATATACTACTTATTTCTAAAATGAGGGTGGTAACTGAATTTACAGAGTAGCTGTAAAGATTACAAGTATATCTGTGAAGCAAACATACATTGTTGGAATAATTACACTCATATATAACTATTTAAAATTGTCATAAAGAAAATATATGAGAAATTATAAGAGTATCTGATGGAGAAACTGTTCTCATTGAATTACATTTGGAAGTCTGGAGAAAACAACAGGAAGGAGTACCCAGAGAAAGCTTTTCCTAAAAAGATCCTATTACATCAAGATATGAAAGTTGAAAAGTCTTCTAGGAAGACAAAAGAACATGAACAGAAGACTGTAGACAAGAAGAATATAGCAAATTCAAAGAACTAAAAGAAAGCAAGTATGACTCAAGTACAGAGATCAAGGGATAACTGGCAAGAGGAGGAGCTAGTGGTGAGGCAGGAAAGGGCCAGATTAAGCAGGTCACATGATAATGTTGGTCTTTGGAGAAGTCTATTGAAAGCTTTTAAGTAAGAAAGTGGAATGGCCATATCTTACATTTTAAAGTCAATATTGCTGTGAGATGGAGAACAGATTAGAAAAGGAGCATTTCTGCATAAAGATAAACTAGGAGGTTTTGCAGTGATGGAGGCAAGGGGTGGCAGAAAGAAATGGAGATGAGAAGAGAATGGGTATGAGAGAGAGTTAGAAAGTAAAACTGGTTTGGATGATGCATTGGGTATGTGAGGTAAAGAAGAGATAGCATTTATGTTTCTAACTTGTGTAACTGTACCAATCTCTAGGTAGGGTACAGATATTAAGGTCAAAAAACATATAAGCAGTTCTCATTATCTTATTTGTGGTCAGGAAGAAAAAAATATTTTTTCTTCACTCAGGGGTTACCAAATTCCAAATACCTGAATAATTTCCAAATAGCAAAATCTCAGCTCTTATCACTTTTAAAATGTCTAGCATTGTTTGACACCACAAATGCCTACTTACTAAAAATCAAGTGATTTTAAATGATTTTGGATTCCTTAAAATCTGCCAATCCTCCTTTCTCCCTGAATGTCCCACTAGATCCCATCTACTACTGTTTTCCCTCTGATTCTGTACATAAGTCTTTAATCTGCAGACTGATCACATCTACTTACCTTCAACTTCCACCTCCACAAAGATGTCACCCAAAATATAATCTCCAGAAAGGCTACGAAATTACTGTGGAATGTGTATATACGCTGATCAGAAGAAATTTCTTATACATTATGCAAATATTTTTAAAAGCAGGAAAAGTATGTAAATACTTATATTTAAGAAAAATGCGATGAAGTGGATTTTTTTATTTAACAAGTACAGGCTAGGCACGGTGGCACACACCTGTAATCCCAGTGGCTTGGGAAGCTGAGGCAGGAGGATTGAGAGTTCAAAGTCAGCCTCAGCAAAATTGAGGCACTAAGCAACTCAGTGAGACCCTGTCTATAAATAAAATACATAATAGGACCAGGGATGTGGCTCAGTGGTCCAGTGCCCTTAAATTCAATCCCCGGTCAACACCCCCCCCCCAGTAATATATCATATGGTATTAAAAACAAAAGGATATCAACACCTGCCTCTGCAGGGCCCAGGCGCACCAGTGGCCTAGGTCCACCCATTTCCCTGTGGGGCAGACACTCGCTGGAGCCTAGCCTCTGGTGCAGAACTGCCCCTTCTGACAATGGACTAAGGCAGGAGCTGAGATCCAGCCCAGACCACCAACTCCAGCCCACTCAAGATCCAGGTTCTCAATAGGCCCAGTTCACCCTTTCCCCCAGTGGGGCAGACACCTTCAGAGCCTAGCCTTTGGAGCAGGACTGCCCCTTCCAATCACCACACTACCTTGGGAGGTAGAGCCTAGCAGCCCAGATCCACCGAAACCAGCCTCTGCAGGGCCCAGGTACACAGCAGGCCTGGTCCACCCCTTTCCTGGTGGGGCAGACACTTGCCAGAGCCTAGCCTCTGGCACAGGGTCGCCCTTCCGACCAGCAAACTACCACTGGGGGTGTCAAGCCTAGCGGCCCCGATACACCCACTCCAACATACGCAGGTCCCATATCCAAGATGCAGTAGCATCCACTGAGGGACACCATCAGGGTCTGGAAGCCCAACATCACGGTGAGGTACAGACAATCTGTACGGGTACTACAAGAATATAGGGAAGAAACTGTAATATCATGGATCCACGTTGTAAGAAAGGAAGACACATAGACACCATGAAAAAACAAGGGAGGAAAGTGCCCCAAACAAACCAGGACACTATAATAACAACCCATGGAGAGTGCGAAGTTGATGAAATGTCAGAGAAGGAGTTCAGAAGGTTCAAAATTAAATGATCTGTGAATTAAAGAATGACCTAAATGAGCAAATACAAGCAAAAATGGATCACTCCAACAATGAGATAAGAGAGCAAATACTGGTAGCAAAAGATTACAGAGAGAGAGAGAGAGAGAGAGAGAGAGACCCTGAAAAAAAAAAAAAACCAGAAATCCTTGAAATGAAGGATACAATAAATCAAATAAAAAACTCAACTGAAAGCATAACCAACAGACTAGAACACTTGGAAGGAAGAACATCAGATAATAAAGATACGGTATACAATCTGGAAAATAATGTTCTTGGACAGAATATCCAAGAATTATGGGACAACATCAAAAGACCAAATCTAAGAATTATTGGGATAGAGGAAGGCTCAGAGCTTCAAACCAAAGGAATACATAATCTCTTCAATGAGATAATATCAGAAAATTTCCCAAGCATGAAGAACAAATTGGAAAAAAAAATACAAGAGGCTTAGAGGAGACCGAATGTACAAAATTACAACAGATCTACACCAAGGCATATTATAATGAAAATACCTACCATACAGAATAAGGATAGAATTTTAAAGGCTGCAAGAAAGAGGAATCAGATCACATATATGGGGAGAAGAATTTGTATCTCAGCAGATTTTGCAACCCAGATCCTCAAAGCCRGGATATAGCGGAAAACATATACCAAGCTCTGAAAGAAAATGGATGCCAATCAAGAATCTTATATCCAACAAATTAAGCTTTAGATTTGATGATGAAATAAAAACCTTCCATGATAAACAAAAGTTAAAAGAATTTACAACTAGAAAGCCTGCACTACAGAACACCCTCAGCAAAATATTCCAAGAAGAGGAAATGAAAAACAGTGATGAAAATCAGCAGAGGGAGGGATTACACTAAAGGAAAATCTAATCAGAGGAGAAACCAAGTCAGTTAAATACCAAAAACAAATAAAAGTGGCTGGGAATAAAAATCATGTGTTAATAATAACCCTGGAATGTTAGTGGTCCAAAGTCACCAATCAAAAGACATAGACTAGCAGATTGGATAAAAAACAAAACAAAACAATATGCTGCCTACAAGAGACTCATAGAAAAAGACATTCAGAATGGAAGTGAAGGGTTGGGAAAAATCATACCATTCACATGGACTGCRGAAGAATGTAAGGGTTTCCATCCTCATACCAAATAAAGTAGACTTCAAACTAAACTCAATCAAAAAGGATAAAGAAGGTCACTACATACTGCTCAAGGGAATCATACACCAATAAAACTTAACAATTATAAATATATATGCCCCAAACAATAGAGCATCTATGTTCATCAAACAAACCCTTCTCAATTTCAAGAGTCAAATAGACCACAACACAATAATTTTGGGTGACTTTAACACACCTCTTTCATCACTAGATACATCTTCCAAACAAAAGCTGAACAAAGAAACTACAGAACTCAAAAATACAATCAATAACTTATACTTAACCAACATATATAGAATATTACAACCTTCAACGAGAGAATATACTTTTTTCTCAGCAGCACATGGATCCTTCTTTAAAAGTAGAGATACTACCCTGCATTCTATCAGATCATAATGGAATGAAATTAGAAATCAATGACAAAATAAGAAATAAAATCCACTCCAACACCTGGAAACTAAATAATATGCTACTAAATAAACATTGGGTTACAGAAGACATCAAGGAGGATTTAAAAAGTTCTTAGGGGTGAATGAGAATACAGATACAACATATTGAAATCTCTGGGATACTATGAAAGCAGTTCTAAGAGGAAAGTTCATTGCATGGAGTAAATTCCTTAAAAGAAGAAAAAGTCAATAAATGACCYCATACTACATCTCAAAGCCCTAGAAAAAGAAGAACAAATCAACACCCAAAGCAGCAGAAGACAGAATAAAATAGAAAATATTGAAGGCATCGAGAAATTTCTAGAGTCATATAATTTGCCCAAATTGAATCAGGATGATATACACAATTTAAACAGATCAATTTCAAGTGATGAGGTACCAGGCACCATCAAAAGTCTACCAACCAGGAAAAGCCTTGGACCAGATGGATACACAGCTGAGTTCTACCAGACCTTTAAAGAAGAACTAATACCAACACTCTC